TTGAATTATTTTATTTTATTTTTTTTTTTCATTTTTCTTTTATTATTCATATGTGCATACAAGGCTTGGTTCATTTCTCCCCCTGCCCCACCCCCTCCCTTACCACCCACTCCGCCCCTCCCCTCCCCCCCTCAATACCCAGCAGAAACTATTTTGCCCTTATTTCTAATTTTGTTGTAGAGAGAGTATAAGCAATAATAGGAAGGAACAAGGGTTTTTGCTGGTTGAGATAAGGATAGCTATACAGGGCATTGACTCACATTGATTTCCTGTGCGTGGTGTTACCTTCTAGGTTAATTCTTTTTGATCTAACCTTTTCTCTAGTCCTTCCCCTTTTCCTATTGGCCTCAGTTGCTTTAAGGTATCTGCTTTAGTTTCTCTGCGTTAAGGGCAACAAATGCTAGCTAGTTTTTTAGGTGTCTTACCTATCCTCACCCCTCCCTTGTGTGCTCTCGCTTTTATCATGTGCTCAAGTCCAATCCCTTGTTGTGTTTGCCCTTGATCTAATGTCCCATATGAGGGAGACATACGATTTTTGGTCTTTTGAGCCAGGCTAACCTCACTCAGAATGATGTTCTCCAATTCCATCCATTTACCAGCGAATGATAACATTTCGTTCTTCATGGCTGCATAAAATTCCATTGTGTATAGATACCACATTTTCTTAATCCATTCGTCAGTGTGGGGCATCTTGGCTGTTTCCATAACTTGGCTATTGTGAATAGTGCCGCATAAACTGATGTGCAGGTGCCTCTGGATAACAGTCTTTGGTATATCCAAGAGTGGTATGCGGATCAAATGGTAGATCGATGTCTCTTTAGTGCCTCCAAATTTTTTTTTCCAGAGTGGTTTACTAGCTACATTCCCACCAAACAGGTAAGGGTTCTTTTTCCCCGCATCCTCGCACACCTGTGTTGGTGGTGTTGCTGATGATGGCTATTCTAACAGGGTGAGGTGGAATCTTAGCATGGTTTTAATTTGCATTTCCTTTATTGCTAAGATGGTGAGCATTTTTTCATGTGTTTCTGGCCATTTGAATTTCTTCTTTTTGAGAAAGTTCTGTTAGTTCACTTGCCCATTTCTTTATTGTTCATTAGTTTTGGGAGAATTTAGTTTTTTAGTTCCCTATATATTCTGGTTATCAGTCCTTTGTCTGATGTATAGTTGGCAAATATTTTCCACTCTGTGGGTGTTCTCTTCAGTTTAGAGACCATTTCTTTTGATGAACAGAAGCTTTTTAGTTTTATGAGGTCCCATTTATCTATGCTATCTCTTAGTTGCTGTGCTGCTTCACCTGCCTTGATTAAAAAAAATGTGTACATGTACTTGGTATATGTGTATTCAGTGTGTATGGCATGCATTTATGTGCATGTGGCTTGTGTGTGTGCAGTGTATGCATGTGTGTAAATTAGCTGAGAAACTGTAGCTTCTTGCCAGTTTTTGTTCCACAGAAGGAGCTGTCTTAACTCTGTTTAGCCTAGTAGCTGGGTCTATGACTTAAAATTATGAACTTTTAGTTTTGTTACGTGATTTAGCAATTTTAGTTAAAAGCTAGATTCCCCTTATGAAGGTTGGTTTAGCTCACTTAGTGCCATTTCCTCCTTCACTGTCCTCACTGTCCTCATTTCTGCTTTGGTGGAGCCCTCTCGGCTTTGAACTGTGATCCCTTTAATTAGAGTGGCCTCCTCCTAGTGTATTGGATTGGTGTCAAGTGGCGCCCATTCTAGAGAGAGAACATGGGAAGATCTATTAGCACAGATTTGTCTGCAACTTTGTGGGACACACACATGCATGTAAAGAAGCAGGTATACACCTAGGCACATACAAATAGTCACGCACATGCACACACAGACACACGTACACAGGTACACAACACACAGGCACGCACACACATGCACACACAGGCTTGTGCAGTCTCCTGTGCAGTGCTTTGTCTACTCAGTCTAGGCTATGTGCCGCTGTCTAAGGTCTTTATGGGCACATGGCATTGGTTTTCATGGCTTTTTCAGCCAGACCCATGAAACCCACTTCAGCAAAGATAGGACACTCTTTTCTTTTTTTAATGGTACTGGGGTCTAATCTCAGGAGTCCACCCTTGCAAAGCAGGCACTCTACCTTTTGAACCATGCCTCTAGTCCATTTTGCTCTGGTTACTGGGGTATGGGGTCTCAAGAACTGTTTACCCAGGCTGGCCTTGAACCATGATCATCCCAATCTTAGCCTCCCAAGTAGGTAGGATTACAGGTATGAGCCACCAGTGCTTGGCTCCAAAGATAGAACTTTTAAAGAAAAATTTCAGAAAAAAAGTTTGCCTTACCCTGCCATTCCCTGGGCAGTTCACCCAGCACCAGTACTGGGCTGGTGCTGGCCACTCTCACCCTGGCAGAGCCTCCACCTGCTCAACTGTGGCAGACAGAGTCTGCCCAGGATTAGGGCTGCGGTCATTGGCAGGAGAACATTGGGCTTTGGGCCTTGCTGGAGGTCCTGAGGCTGGTTGTACTTCTACCCCCGCTGCACAGGAACCTACTCTCCTACTCACCACTTGTGTACCCGGAGCTTGCTAGGGTGGAGTTGTCCTTGGAGTGCTCCCCAATCCAGCAAATAGTGAGCCCTGTTTATGAGCAGGTGTGCAGCAAGAGATAAGTGACACCCTGGGAGTGTCCTGAGGAGGGGACTGTCCTGCTGGAGAGACAGATTAGCTGGGAAGCATCAGTGGTGCTAAGAAGGGGATGTGGGCTGAGCCCAATGTTTGGGGCTCCGTAGCACCTGGGACCTGGCAGGGCTGCTCCTGCCATGTTCTGATGTGGGTGGGTTGCTGCAGAGGCCTTTGCTTCCTCTGGAAGTGCAACCATTAACCAAGGACTTGCTTCACTGGTGCTGGGCGCCCGTGGCTCATGTCTGTAATCCTAGCTACTCAGGAGGCAGAGATCAGGACGATTGAGGTTTGAAGCCAGCCCAGGCAAATAGTTCCACGAGACCCTATCAAAAAACCCTTTACAAAAATAGGGCTAGTGGAGTGGCTCAAGGTGAGCCCTGAGTTCAAGCCTCCGTTCCAAAAAAAAAAAAAAAAAAAAAAAAAGCAATCAGATATGCACAGACTTGCCATGTGTAATAAGTTGTGTGGTCCATAGTGAAAGTTTGCCCATTGTGTAGCTGTATTCTTCTGTCTGTTCTTGTACAGTGGAGGGGGTTCTCAAGCCTCATTGCATGTTATAAAAGTGGGCTTGCAAGATTTTGTTGTTGTTTTCATAAAGGAGACAGTTGCAAGTGCATCATGGTTACAACTGTTCCTTTGTCATCTATATCAATGGAAGTCAGTTTCAGAAGCAAGCTGTTCTTAGCTGATGGCTTATTGAAGCAGGTACTTTGAGCGACACAGAGTTAGATGATAAAACAGTGACGTAGCACACCCCATGTGAGGCACACTGCTTCCTTGGGAGGCTCTGTAGACCTGGGCACTCCCCTGCTGACGCGCCAGGGCCCTGGTTCTGCCACTGGTGCTGAGCTGGAGACAGCTTCTTCTTTCCTTGGTATCTCTTCCTTCTTTAAACAAGGGACTGAACAAAGACTGTAGGGCCGCTTTTCCCTCCTGAAAGCTGGGATACTGATGTTCTCAGAATGGGTCCCTCCAGGGACTGGGTGCTTTCTTAGAATCAGTCAAACAATGCATTTCTATTCTTTTTTTTTTAAAGGCAAAAGTAAAGAAGCAGAAATAAAGAGGATAAACAAGGAACTGGCAAACATTAGATCAAAATTCAAAGGTAAGTGTTCAGCCTTTCCCACAGTGTGTACTATTGTGTATTTGTATAGCTAAGGACCTGACATTTTAACACCATCTCTTTTTCCCACTCCAAGCCAAAGTTGAGTTCTTAGTGTAGGTGCTCTCACAGCTGGCCAAAATTGAATCCCGTGAAGAATGAAACCATCAGCATTGTCAGTTTGCAGGAAGGGCTTGTGTTAGATGGTGTGCCCTTCCTGGCATAAATTTTGGTCATTTCTTGGCTTGGAATCACATCTGACAAGCACTACTCAGCAGCCTGCTGGGCCATGGATGGGTCTTGAGTATGTGGAGCACCCTGCCTGAGGAGTTTGGAGTGTTGGGCTTGCAGACCCTGCACTGGAGTGGCAGGTCAGGTGTTTCCTGCTGTCGGCCTGCCCTCGCCAGGATTGCACAGCTTGGGCCTAGTTTCCAGTTTTTAGGACATTTGGGAAAGCCCAGGTAAACCTTTAAGCCTTAGATTTTAGGCTAGTTTTTGTGGGTTTGGGACCTGGCTGAAGCCTCTGAGCATACTTGAACCATGAGAGCAGCTAAAGTTGCCCAGAAACCATGGGCAGAGGAGGGACTGAGTCTGGACCCCTAGCAGTTGCAGGGTCAGCAGAAGGAAGTCCTGCAGACTCCTAGACTCTCCTAGGATGGATGCTTTTGGGGGGCTTGAGAGTGGATATCCTGTGTGATCAGATGATGCAGAAACTAGTGGCATTTGAATCATTACTGGGTGGCTTACTCCCTGCTGAGACATGTTAACTGTTAATATTTCATAACAGGCCAGGGATCATATAGAAGGCCTGTGGTCCTGCAGTTGTGTGTGGGATTATTTTTTTGTGGGTATTTCTGGGAGGGACTGTAACTTTCATTGCTGCCAAGTGGGTATTTCACATGGTAGGCCTGCTACCCTTGGAACACATCTCAGTTTGGACCAGGCACAAGGGCCTGCGTTCCTGCTCTGAAGAGCTGTGTGGCCTGGGCCAACTGCCTGTCCTCTGCTCCTCTTTTCTCAGCTGAGAATGGCAGTGCTGGTGATCTCAGGTGGGTTCTGGGAATGCAGACCTGCACTGGAGCTTCAGGGCCAGACATCAGCTGGCGAGTAGCAGCAGGCATAGGAATGGGAGGCACCCGTGGAAACACTGATCTGACAGAGTCACCAGAGCCCACCAAGAGTTGTGGGGGGCCCTAATGCCAGAGTGAAGGAGGCAATACAAAGCCACCCTCCTGTCAGAGACTTAGGGCCTGTGTCTGCTGTTCTTATTGTATTTATGTGAGAAAATGCATCTCGGTTGAGTACAAGAGGTAGGCACCTACTACGTTTTAGTCAGCATGGTATTACAAAGAGTTCAGTTTGATGATGTGGTAAGGTTAAATTTGATTGAGAGATTTTGTAGGTTTTTAGAATAATGACTTACTGATACGTAACTTTAGAGATTTTGTTAAGCAATTCCCTTTGCAATGTCTATTAAGTATTTTGGGACCAGGAAGTCTTCTGAAGCAGGTGAAAGGACATTCCTCTTATGTACCGTCAGGGGGTATCTGGTACACACAGATCCACCCTATATAGCAGCAGGTAGGGCAGAAAGTCTGCTCCCATCCTTGAGGAACCTGTGACCTGGGCGTCTCTGCCAGTCATTGTGTGCGATAGGAACGTTGTGGAGTGTGGAGCCTGTGTAGAAATGAAACACACTTGGTAGCAATCAGGCAAAACATGATAGATCTTGAGTTGTCCTGTGACCAGCAGAGAACCAAATATGATCTTAAAATTTGCCATCTGGAAAGCTGTACATGTGGTGGTGTGTCCCTGTGGTCATAGCTGCTTGGGAGGCTGAGGCAGAAGGATTGCTTGAGCCTAGGAGTTCAACAACCTGGACCACACAGCGAGAGTTCACTTCAAACAACAAAAGCAGAACCAGAACAATTAGGTCCTGGGATGGGATCACAGCTGCATGATGTCATCCTCAAGGTATTTGCATATTTGACCTTTTAAAATAGAAAGTCCTTCACTGTTGTTTCTCATTTAGAGGACTTTCATAATTTGATTTCTTTCATTCTCTTTAAAGGTAATGGCATTTGTAATAATGCTTTTTAGTAGTGTTCTTAAAATTTTACAATTTGTGATATAATGCACATAACTTAAAATTTACCATTTTTGGACTAGGGTGTAGCTCAGTGGTACAGCACTTGCCTAGCATGCTTGAGGCCTTTGGTTCCATTCCCAGCACCAGAAAAATAAAAAAAAAAAAAGAAGCCATTTTGGCCACCTGTGAATACATCTGGTTAGTGTTCAGCATGGTGTCTGTCTAGTTGTCCTGTGAGTCCAGTTAGTTAGGGTTCAGCATGCTAACTCATTGTGTAGCCATTGCCATCCTCATCTACCACATCTTCATCTCGTCTAGTGGAAACTCTGTCCCCATTAAACACTTCACTCTATTACCCACTCCCACTGCCCAGCCCTGTGGTATCGCATTCTATTCTTTCTGTTTTCTTTTCTTTCATTTTTGTTGTCAGTTGCTGAAATTAGGGTTTGAACTCGGGGTTTCCTGCTTGCATATCTACCACTTGAGCCAAATCTCCAATCCATCTTGCTCTGGTTATTTTGGAAATGGAGTTTCGCATACTATTTGCCCTGGCTGTACTTGAACTGCAATCTAGGTGGGAGCCACTGGGGCCTGGCTGGTTTTTTTTTTTTTTTGAAACAAGGTCTAATTATGTAACCCAGGCTGGCTTTTTTACTTTTTAAGACCGAATAATATTCCACTGTATACATACATCACATTGTGTTTATTCATTCATCCACAAATGGGCACTCAGGTTACTTCCACCTTTGGGCCGCTGTGAATAATGGCTGCTGTGAACATTGGTGTGCAACTATCTGTTTGAGACCCTGATTTAAATTATTTTGGGGATCTTTTTTGGTTCATAAGTATGATGATTGGGTGTTCACCCCTGTGTGTGACATGTGCTGCCTTCAAATCTTGTTACACTTTGGGCACATTACCCTTCTGATGTGAAAAAAAAAATTATTTTGGGTATACACCCTGAAATGAAATTGTTGGATTATAATTCTTTTTACTTACTTATTTTTTATTTATTTATGGTGCTGGGCATTGAGATTGAAGCCAGGCGCTTGTGCATGCTAGACAAGTACTGTACCACTGGGCTATGCCCCCAGCTTGGTAATTGTATTTGTAATGTTTTGAAGAACCACCATGCTGATTTCCACAGTGGCTGCAGCATCTTCCATTTCATTCCCACCAGCATTGCACAAGGCTCCAGTTTGTCTGCATCCTTGCCAGATGGGGTGAGGGAGATGACATCTCCTTATGGGTTTTTTTTTTTTTTTTTTTTTTTGAGACAGAATCTTAATGTGTAGCCCAGCCTGCCTGGATGTCACTGTGCAGGCCAGGCTGTCCTTGCACTCTCTCCATCCTTCTGCCTCAGCCTCCGGAGGCTGCCTGGCTCATGGTTTTGGATTGTATCCCTGGGGACTAGTGATGCTGAACACTTTTCTGTGTCCTGCGACTGTCTGTGTGTCTTCATTGGAGAAGTGTCTTACTTGAGTCCTTTGCTCATTTTTAGATTGGTGTGTATTTAGAATACCTGTGTATTCTTTCCAGATGGTTTGCGGATACCTCATTCTGTAGCCTGTCTTCACTCTGTTGAGAGCATCCTTTGGCGCACAAAACTTTTAAATTTTAGTTGGCTAGTTTGTTTTTCTTTCGATGCCTGAGCTTTTGGTTTTCTGTCCAAGAACTCACTGAAGGCGCCTTATTTTGTGTGTTGTTTTGCAGATATAGAGTTCAAGACAAAGCAGTGGGTTAGGTAATCTGGTGTTCTCAGATTCTAGATAGAGACTGTTGGGGAACTGTCATTGGGTGCATTCAAAAAAGTTTTACAAAAAGTTCACATGTGTAAGGTTTCACATGAAACCAGGCTTGTTAAAATAGCCTGTGTTAGCCTAAGTGAGGTTAACAGGTGAGGGCCAAACAGAGCGTGCTTAAAAATGTTTTGTCTTTGGCAGAATTGAGCATCCCTTCATGATAAAAGCCCTGGTGAAGCAGCTTAGTAAAGGCTCAGCCAACATCACACCGGATGGGGAAAATGGAAGGTATTTCCTCTAAAATCAGGAAGGAGACAGAGGTGTCCACCCTTTCCACTCTTATTTAATACAATACATGATTTCTTAGAGCAATAAAGCAAGAGAAAGAAAGAAAAGGATTCAACTTAGGGAAGAAATAAAGTTATCCCTATTTGCAGATAAGATCCTATACTTAAAGACCCTGAAGACTCCATTAGAAAATTCTTAGGTTAGATATAACACTTTCAGCAAAGTAGCAGAATTCAAAACTTACATCTTTTAATTGTTACTGAAGACTTACTTGGTTAATGCGAAAAAATATTGTATTTTTCTTCTTAAAAAATTTTTAGTGAACAGATAAAAATTGTGTATATCTATAGTGTACACCACCATGTTTTGATATGTCAGTACACATTGCAGAGGCACGACAGAATCAAGCTGCCTCATGTACTTGTCTTTTTGTGGTGAGAACACTTAAAGTATTTTACTGTTCTTTTTTTTCTTCGAGACAGAGTCTCACTATGTAGCTCAGGCTGGCCTGGAACACTCTGCCTCCTGAGTGTGAGGATTACAGGCGTGCATCACCACACCTGGTGGTGTTTTATTATTCTTAATTTAACATAATTTAGTTATAAATCTATAATTAAATTTAATAATTCTTAAGTTGGAAGAAACTTTATTTTTATTTTACCTGGACAGCTCTGTTTCCCAGTTTACACTAGTTTCATCGTTCTTTCACTTACTTAATGAAAAGAAACTTACTGCTCAGCACCCCTGCAGTGGGACCTGGGGGTGTTTCAGTAACTGACAGATAGCTCTCCTTGCCCTTGCTGTGGCGCCAAGCGAGGCAGGTGGGATGCGGCATCGAGTCCTATCAAGGTGCCAGGCCCTCCCTTCCAGGTGAGCCTTTAGTGTACCTGGTGCCTGAGCCATTTTCCAGTGCACCTCCCTGGTGATGGGCTGTTATTAAGAATGCGGGGCTCCAGGCACTCCCAGGCAGACACTTTCCATGTCTGTGACGTCAGCACATGGTTCAACCTGAGCTGGGACCTACTTTTCCTCAGCACTGGGGGGCTCTGCTTGAAGCACCTTTGTAATTTTTTATCATTAGCAAATAATAGTGTGCAGGAGGATACAGTGTAATATTTACATATGTGCTTACAGTATATCTTAGTTAGATTTTATCACCTCCATTGTTCTCCCTTCTTCATCCTCTCTTTCTTCTTAGAACAATTTCAACTCATTTCATAGAAGAATTTTTGTATATAAGTACAAAATAATCCACCATATTCACCCTCAGACACCCTTTCCTTATGCCTACCCCCCACTGGAACCAACCCCCAGAAAAGCCTGTTTTACCCTCCTGTCCTTCATATTTTAAAAAGTGTGTATTTATAGTCCAGGGGAGTTTTGCTCTGGCATCTCAGACATGTATCTGTCATGCTTTACATGCTTTAGTCAGATTAACCTGCCTGGTTACTTACTTTTTCTCTTTTTTTAATTTAAATTTATTAGCATATGATTGTTGTACTGGGGGCACTTTGTGACATTTACAAAAGTGCTTTCACTACATCTTAGTTAGATGACCCCTGACTTATCTTTCTCCATCACCATGCTCCTACTTCTCCTCATTTTATAACAACCCAGGAGGAAACTGGGGTTGGAGGAGTTGAAACTGGCCTGAGATCAGGCTTTGCAAGTGGCCGAGCTCTGCATCCTCACCCATGGCTCAGTTACCCACCCACCTTCTACTTGGCTTTCATAGCAAATCAGGCAGAAACTACTGTGTCCTCCCCATTTTACATCTTAGGAAATTACAATTCGCCTTAACGTTTTGAAATTATTGTAAGGAAAAAGCAAGTGTAGCCCAGTTCTGAAGCTGTTGATTTGAATTTTTAACAGTCTGGGCCTAGTTATTAGGAGAGTGTTGAGATCTGGGAAGAGTGACTGAGATATAAGGAGGCTGTGTGTCTCCTGGGGCCACAGGAAAGTCCCCAGATTTGCAGGGGCCTCTCCTCAAAGCAGGAGTTACATCTTGGAGCAAAGGGACCCTCAGATCCTGAGAGCTGAGTTTGTTGGCTTGGACAGGCTAGGCTGTTGTGGGCATGCTGGGGTGGGAACTGTCTGCCTGGCAAGTTACATGGGGGCTGCCAAGGGATCTGGGCACTGGTGTGAGCAGGAACTCCTGGTGCTGGGCTCATGTTGACAGGGACATAGTAAGTTATGGATAGGCTGAAAGGTCATGAGGACCACAGAGTGTGCATGGGCTCACAATGTACTTGGTGATCCACCCACCGCTGCCCCGCAGCCATGAGCCTCCAACACCTGTCCCAGAAAGTGTAAAAAGTATAAAGAGGAGAGGTACAGAGGGCTCTTTCCAGGCAGAGTGTTCCGGGAAGGCCATAGTTCACACTTGGCACAAGTTGTGTCCCAAGAATGAAAGGTGTAGGGGTTTGGCTGTGATTGTCCCAGCCAGTCTGTGTGGTCAGACATAGCCCCTTGCATACTCTTGACTCCTGATGTGCTGGAGTGTGCCAGTTACTGCTTGGGGAGGTGGTGGGCAGGCCTTGCTGGCAGAAGGCAGTGTGTAGGCTGTGTGAACGAGTACTGTTCTTCATTTCTGGCACACTATGCCTTGGAGTAAGAAGCGAGCACTGTGGTCTTTCTCCCTCACTGACTGCTCGGAGTTATAGTGCTCTTGGGACAGGGGTGTATGCTTTGTAGGGTGTATGGTGGCATCACTGCAGCCCAAGGTGATCCTGTAGCATCCTTATGCCTGTGGCTCCCCTCTCCCCCACCAGCCAGTTGCTGCTGAGAAGCAGGTCTGGAGGGCCAGCGCTCTGAACTCGCCAGAGGAAGAGTACCTGATGGTGGGTCAGAGGCCTGAGGTGGGTGTTTAGCAGCCATGGAGAAGCTCCACAGACCCCCAGTCTGGCACCAGTGACCTCCATGAGGTGACTCTGAGGTCCTTTCTGGGTCAGGTCATAGATAGCAGCAGTAGGCCTTACTGTCTTCACAGAGCTCGTCCCCTAGGGAACAACAAGAAAGGAGCCACAGTTCCTGGGAGGAGAATTTAAGAGTGGGGACTCATGGAATTCAGTGACCCTCAGGGGCTCACGTGAGCAGTTGAGGAGCCAGCTGAGCCCAAGTGGGAGAGCATTGGGGTTGCTGGTTCAGCAGAGGGAGCCAGCTCTGTGTGCTGCCCCAGCCAGTCCCCTGACCTGGGTGGGTGGGGGTGTGTCTAGGAATCTGTTCTTGGGGCGGGAGGGCTGCACCTCTCCAGGTTACTCCCCATGTTCTTGCTGGGAACATGGCCTCTTGGGATGCCCCGGCTTTGGGCAGGGTCTCATCTGTTCCCCTGCTGGACTGGGCTCAGGTTAGTCTCCAGCACTCTACTTCTGCTGGTTGTTGGTATCAGCCTCAGTCACATCAGCTTCAAGGGCTTCTGTTCACTCCTCATTGTCCTACCTTGGTTGTTGTCCTTTCTTGCTCTCTGTGGTCAGCTTCTCAGAGCATGCTGGCTGAGTCGCCTGTGTCTGCAGCCCATAGAATGGGCTCTTGGTCTGGGTTCTGCTGGAATAGTAGCCAGGAGAATTTCAGGGCTTGGAACCAGACTCTGTGGCTGTCCTGTCTAACCTGGCTGTCACCTTTCTGCCCTCTAGTCCTTTCCCTTTAGAAAGTGCTTGACTTGAATAATGAGCAAGTCTCCACAGGAGCAGCATGCCAGCTGTACTGGGCTGAGGTTGTCATGGAGGCTTCTGGAAGGCAAGGGGAGCAGGAGATGCTCTTGGGGTGTAGGGGAAGGTATCCTTGTGCCTCTCTGCGTTGCTCCTGTGCTCTCGAAGGACTGGCATGGTGATTGGTGGAGCCAGGTCCAGTCTCATATTGTCTGGTCTTTTAAATTACATGTTAACTTATTGCTGGAAAGTGGGAAAGTTCCTCAGGGGCCCCACAAGACAGCTTCTGCTGGCTGACCTGGGACTCACCACTGTGGGGTCTTGTTCTAGTCCTCCCTGCCAGGTCAGCAGGCAAGATGAACTTGATGGCTCACAGTGGGGCTTGCAGATCAACAACTGCTGAGCCTGGGTGGGATTGTGGCAGATTAGGGAGGCCGTGTGGGCTTCATTGGTGTGTGCTGCTGGTTGTCCTAAGGGCAGAGCTCTTGTTGCTAGTGCTTTGATTCCTTTGTCAAAAGGGAAGCTTGAGTCTGGATTATAAGTGCTGTTCTTGCTCCTGGGTCTGCCATGGCCCTGTACCCCTCTGTGACGGTCCACTCACACCCTCCCTGTTGCTTTGCTGTCTAGTTCTCTGCCCACCTGGAATAACTTTTTCCTCACCTTTTCTGTAGGTGACAAGGCTCTTGATGGCTACAGTAAAAAAAAATACGTCTGCAAGTTGCTCTTCATCTTTCTCCTTGGTCACGACATTGACTTTGGGCACATGGAGGCTGTGAATCTGCTGAGTTCAAACAGATACACGGAAAAGCAGATTGTGAGTATAGCCACAGGGGCTGCTGTGTGCTGTGGGCTGGCTTCAACTTCTCCTCCTGCCTTGTCATGCATTGGGCACCAGCCACATGGACTGGAGTAGGTATAGATGTAGTTCAGCTTGCCTTAGCTCCTGATGCTGCTGTCCTGCTATCCTGAGACCTTGAGGCCCTGCCCTTTCCCACTCCATTGTGGGGCTCCAGGGAGCAGTGGTGCCAAGGAGAGTCTTTCTCTGGGTGGGGTCTTCTGATGGGGTGCCCCCTTCTTCCCCTGCTGCTTTTCTTTTTGCAGTAGTGGGGTTTGAACACAGGGCCTCATGCATACTAGGCAAATGCTCTACCCCTGAGCCACATTCCCAGCCTTTTTGTTTGTAATTTTGTTTTTCAGACAGGGTCTAACTTTGCCGAGGCTGGGCTGGACCTCTTGATCCTCCTGCCTCTGCTTTCTGAGTAGCTGAGATGACAGGCTGCGTCACCATGGCCTCACTGATGTTCTTTATGACCTCACTTCCTACGAGCCTGGGTCAGGACGTTTTCCGTGTTGGTTTAGACTGGTGCACACTCTGATCATGTCTCTGTGCCTGCTGCTGCCCACCCCAGTCATCCTCAGCTTTTCCTTTTCCACAGAGCTTGTTAATGAATGCAGTATGGCAAACAAGCTTACCCTCTTGTATGAATTTGTGTCTGGAAGCCCCCTGTATCAGTGAGGTCAAGAGGTGAAGCTGCAGAGGAGCAATTCTTCCCACAAACACTGTGCCATTTTACACAGGCACTTGAGCATCTCTGGATTTTGGTAGTCATGGGGGTCCTGGAACCAATCCCCTGAGGTTACCAGGGTCTTTATTCAACAAGAATTTACAGAGTGAGCCGAGTGTGGTGGTGCACGCCTGTTGTCCATCTACTTGGGAATTGAGGCAGCAGGATTGCAAGGTCTAGCCCAATCTGAGCAAAGCTAGTGAGATTGCATATCAAAAACAAAAGATAACAAAAAGGACTGGGAGAAATGGCTCAAGATGTAGAGTACTTGCATAGTATGTGCGAGAACCTGGGTTTAATCCCCTGTACTGAAAAAAAAATTCATATACCAAGCATTGTACATGAGACTCTTGGGGACAATGGGTAAAAGTAGATGTGGGACTGCTCTTGCTCAGCAGGGTGATAGGCATTAGATAGCCCCTGGACAGGCTCCATGAAGATGGATCTAGGCATGTGGAGTTCTGAGACTGCGAGGAAGTGGAGGGCAGTGCACACAGTAGGAGGCAGCTGCTGGAATGGAGGGGAGGGGCTCCCTGGGGACCTTTCTCCTGGAAGCCATGGGCAACTGGGCATGGGTTTAACTGGATGGCTGTGATCAAAGAGGTGTCTAGAAGATCACTGTGTCCTTCTTGGGGGGGAGGGTGTGTGACTTGTGGATGGGTGAGAGAAGGGGAAGATGATAGAATGGTGCCATGGGACTGGGATTTGGCCAGGTAGTGGTGTGATGCTGGGGACAGATTTGAGAGAGGAGTGCATAGCAGTCAACCGAGCTTCTGGAAATTCATGTTGTGCGTTAGTGAGTGATGCTAGGTTGGGTCTTTGTTGATGGTCCCTCCCACTTTGAGCTGACACTCAAACACATGACCCATGGAGATAGAGCAGGGTTTGGATAATGACCGAGGGGTCTGCTTCCTGCCAGCCTCTGTCTACTTGGATGCATCCTAGAAGGAATGCTGGCTCAGGGCTGGACTGTAGCAAAGTCACATCTGTCTTCAGAGTGAGGGAGAGCTCTTGGGGTGAGTCTCAGCAGTGCACCACGGGATGGCATTGGAGGTTTTCCAGGGCTTGCTTGTCTGTGCATTAAGTGTTGAGCCTCTCAGGACCACAGGGCAATGCAGTTGTCATGAACTTTCTGACCCCTGCCTTCCTGGAACACAGGGCTACCTTTTCATCTCCGTGTTGGTGAACTCTAACAGTGAGCTGATCCGCTTGATCAACAATGCCATCAAGAATGACCTGGCCAGCCGCAACCCCACCTTCATGGGCCTGGCCCTGCACTGCATTGCCAACGTGGGCAGCCGAGAGATGGCTGAGGCCTTTGCCGGGGAGATCCCTAAGATCCTCGTAGCGGGGTATGTACTGGATGCTGTAGACAGCGTGCTCAGTTACACTGAACACAGTAACTGCTGACTCAGGCCCCGTCCAGCCCTTCTATGTTATGTAACAGGATATGTGTTTGAGGGTGGGTTAAGTAAGTACAAATTTAGAGTTTAGCTGTCCAGTCTGATTTTCCCTTTCTGAGATACCCAATACACACACACACACACACACACACACACACACACACACACACACACATTTTGTAGTACCAGGGTCTGAACTCAGGGTCTTATGGTTGTCAGCACATGCTCTGCCTTTTGCTTTAGTTATTTTTCAGATAGGGTCTTGTGTTTTTGCCCGGGGTTAGCCTCAGACCAAGATTCTCCTACTTACTCCTCCCATGTAGCTGGGATTGCTGACATGCACCATACCCTCATTGATTGAGATAATTTTTTCCTCATCTAACCTCCAACTGTGGTCCTCCTGACCTCCAGTTCTCAGGTAGCCCTGTTATGGCACCAAGGGAAAGAAGCACGGTTGCTGTGCAGTGTTGCTCAGCTCTGTGTCTTGTCCTTTCCCAGAAGCCTTAGAGAGAAGGCCAAGAGCCAGAACCCTGTGAATTCTGAGTCATCCATCCCCTCCCGCTAATACAGAGGCAGCTCAGAGGGGCTGTGTATGAAAGTATTTGAAAGAGCCCTGAGTTGTCCCAGGCCTCTGGGCTTGGCACAGGCTGGGCTAGCACCCACCTGTTCAGTGTGCTTTGTGGAGTTGGACAACTTACCCACAACCACTGAGTAGCACATCTGGCTGTGACTTTAGCAGGATACAGAAGAAGACAGGGTAGCTGTCAGTGAATTGAGCAGGGCACTGAGGCCACAGGAGGCAGATGGACTCAGCCCTCAGCTGCATGGTCAAGGTTACAGAGAAGATGCAGGTGTCACAAACAAAGCTAATCTAGCCTTCCCCACTGCTCTTCCTTGCCCCAAGGGGTTCTTTTTGGTTGTCACGGTGGAGGGCCCACTACTGTCATCTAGAGGACAGAGGGCAAGGATATTGCTAAACATTGTGTACCACACAGGAGGGACCCACAGAGAGAACCACCCAACCCACTGTCACCCTGCCATGGTCAGGAACACTGGGCTAGAATTAGGTGCCTTGAGTGCCAGCAACATGAAGCCAGCAGGAGGGAGAGTTGGGAGCCACAGGAGAGGTGCATAAAGGAGCCAGGTTGGCAGAGACTGTAGAACAAGCCTGTGGAAATGAACTCAGAAATGTAAGAACTGTGTAAACCACATAGGATGGATGTGAGAAGGAGCATCGCAGAGCTAGGGAGCAGTAGAGGCACAGAGGCCTGTCAAACATCTGATCATAAGCACAAGTTGTAGCTCACATCTAGGTGCCCTGAAAGTGAAATGCCCAAGATGGAAAAAAGACAGGATGAGATCATAGTGGTATTGGGCACAGAGGTCAGACTAGAGAGACAGAAAGTTGGGCTAATGCCAGTGTAGGCTACTAGCCAGGCCTTGCTGGCTTTCTGCCCCAACAGTCACTGTGGAGTCCTATGAACAGGATGCCTGAGTGCTGTCTAATTTGCTCTACTTTGTTTAACCCCGCGTGGGTGTGGGTCACATATCTGTCCACTGTGCCTTCTGTGCACTGTCACAGGGCTGGCCCACAGCAAGTGCTTGATGAGCATCTGGGAGGACAAACAGGATAATCCCTGAAAAATCCTCTCAGGAACATTCCCTGAAGTAACGCATGTAGCATGTGCAGTGACAATGAGGCTGAATGCTCAGGAAAGTCCTTCAGCAGAAGATAGGCAGGCGGTGCCTGCTGGTATGGCAACACGTGGTCTGGTGCTGACACAGCAGGTGAGCTGGCTCCTGAGGACAGATCATGGGCAGGCCACTTCCTCTCCAAAAGCTCACCATGGCATTCATGAGGCCACCTTGAAAAAGTGACCAAGTCATAAAATCCCACTAAGCAGTAGCTGACTCATGAACACAGAGCTTGGTGTGGGGGCCGTAGTTAGAGGGTGCTGACGAGCATGACTCCAGATGGGAAGCTGCAGAGGATGCCCTGAGAATACAGCCACACCACTGGAAGTAAGGGCCCCGTCCTGAGAATACAACTATGACACCAGAAATAGGGCCCCTGAGAAGAGTGAGATGGGGGTTCAGAAAGAACACAGTGGAGCAACTGGGAGCTGCTCTGGACCCCTCAGGTGGGTAGTAATATCTAGGGTCCTCACCTTTGATGGCCGACATTTTGGGCTTCTCCTCTCCATGCTCTTTCCTGGAGGTGTCTCTGTTGATGTCAGCTGGGAAAGGATGACATAGGCCTTACTTTGTTCAACATCCTGGTTAGAAGTGTAGAGACAGACTGGCCACTCAGAGAGCTGTGTGAAGAGATGACTGCTGCTGCATAGACCCTGCAGGCCCTGCTCACAGTGAGGGAACCTGGCACGAGTCTTCTGGGGCTGGCATCAGTTCAGGCAGGGCCAGTGCTGCTCTCCTGGGGTGTTTGCATCTGAAGAACTTTTTGGTGCAGGGATGCAGCTCAGTGGTGAGCACCTGCCTAGCTTGCACAAGGCCCTGGATTTTATCCCAGCACCCCCTCGTCCCCTCTCCCCCCAAAAAAGGGCAGGTTTTCTCTGTAAAAAACTAGGCAGCTTAGGGGCTTCTTCTCCTGTTGGTTTTGCCCCATTTAGGAATAAAGATCTAATAACCAAGAGGTGAGCATGAAAGAGTCCTCGAGTCCTTCTCTTCCTGCCCAGTGGAACAACAGTTTTCCCCAAAGTGCCTTGAGGACATAGACTGACTCTTTCCAGGGACATTTTGACAGCTTTCTGCTGGCCCCATTGCCTCCTGCTCAGCAGGATCTGGCTGGTGGGACAAAGAGTGACCTACAAGTGCAGTTCCCTCTGCACTGTCTAGGCAGAGTAGAAACTAGCTGCCTCCCTGCCTGGCCCAGTGTCTGCACAGATGTAGCCTTTATACTTCCCTTCTGGGCTGTGTAGGAGGGAGAAGAGAGAGAGGAGAGCTGTCTTCCAGGGCCTCACACAGTATGACTAGAAGGTAGTGACCATGTGGGAAGTATACGTGGTGAAGAAAGGGAAGCAGAACAGTGATATTCAGACACCACATAAGGCTGTGGCCTAGCCTGGAACACAGAAGTGCTATTACCATTGTGTCACCTTGCAAAGTGCTTTCTCTTAAAACTTTCTACTTAGAGCAGGTGTGGTGGCACACACTTATAATCCCAGTACTGGGAAGCTGAGGCAGGAGGATCACGAGTTCCAGGTACATAGTGAGACCCTGTCTCAAAAAACCAAGAGCTGGGTACCCTTTCATGATAAAGGAAACTAGGAATAGAAGGAATGTTCCTCAACATAATAAAGGCAAATATGACAGACCTAGAGCCAACATCATACTAAATGGAGAACAACCGAAACCATTTTCTGATAAAAGTCAGGAATGAGACCAGGATGACTGCTTTCCCCACTCATATTCAATATAGTTTTGGAATTCCTACTCAGAGCAGTAACACAGAGCAAGGAATAAAAGGGATTCAGTAGGGGAAGAAGAAGTCACACTATCCTTGTTTGCAGGTGATATGATCCTATACCTAAAAGGCCATAAAAACTCTACCAAAATATTATTAGAAATCATAAAGTCTATTGGCAGGATACAAGTAGCAGGATATAAAATTAACATACAGAAATCAATATTCTTCTATGTACCAACAATAAACAGACTGAGAAAGAAATCAGGGAAACAATCCCATTTACTATAGACTCAAAAAAAAAAAAACCTACGAATAAATTTAACAAAGGAAACCAAAGATGTTTTCAGTGAGAACTATAAACCACTGAAGAGAGAAATTGAAGAAGACAGCAGAAGATGTCAGAAAAGTCTCCATGCCTCATGGATTGGCAGAATCAACGTTGTAAAAATGGCTACACTACCAAAAGCAATCTACATGTTCAGTGCAATTCCTATCAAAATCCCAATGACATTCTTCAGAGAGATAGAAAAATCAATCCCACAGTTCATATGGAAACACAAAAGACCTTGAATAGCCAAAGCAATTCTGAGCAAAAAGTCCAGTGATGGTGGTAGCACAATTCCTGACTTCAAACTATGCTACAGAGCCATAACAATGAAAACAGCATGGTATTGGCACAAAAACAGACATGAAGACCAGTGGATTAGAGTAGAAGACCCAGATACAAACCTATACAGCTACAACCAATTGATTTTCAACAAAGGAGCCCAAAGCACATGATGGAGAAAAGAACCTCTTCAACAAATGTTGCTGGGAAAATTGGATATCGACATCTCTCTCACCTTGTGCCAGTATCAACTCAAAATGGTCCAAAGATCTTAATATAAGGCCTGAAACTTTGAAACAACTCTAGAAAGTAGTAGGAAATACACTAGAACAGATAGGTATGGGGAATGTCTTCCTAACTAGAATTCCAATGGCTCAGCATCTAAGAGAAAGAATGAACAAATGGGACTGCATCAAACTAAAGGGCTTCTTCTGCACAGCAAAAGAAAGAGTCACTAGACTTAAGAGACAGCCCACAGAATGGGAGAAAATCTTCACCAGGTTTTCATCTGATAAGAATTTACAGGGAACTCAAAAAATTCAACCCCCAGAGAATCAACATCCCAATGAAGAAATAGTATGTGAATTGAATAGGAAATTCTCAAAGGAAGAGGTACAAATGGCCAATAAAAACATGAAGAACTGTTCAACTTCTCTGGCTATAAAAGAAATGCAAATCAAAACTACTTCATCTCACTCCATGTTCAAGAGCAAAAACAACAAATGGTGGTGAGGATGTTGTGAAACAAGAGCCCTTATGCACTGTTGGTGGGAATGCAAATGAGTACAACCATTATGGAAAACAGTGTGGAGACTCCTCAAAAAGCTAAAGGTAGAACTGTCATATGATCCAGTGATACCACTCCTGGACACCTACCCAAAGGAACATAGATCAGGATACAATAGAGACACTTGCACCGATGTTTATTGCAGCACATTTCATAATAGCCAAGCTATTGTAGATGCCCTACAACTGATGAATGGATCAAGAAAATGTACATGCACACGCACGTGGACGCACACCCACCCACCCCCACACACAATGGAGTTTTACTCAGTCTTAAGGAAGAATTATACCATGTGGTTGAAGGTAAATGGATGCAATTGGAGGACTTCATGTTAAGTAAGTCAGGTGCGGAAAGACAAAGGCCACATATTTTCCTCTCATGTGGAAGATAGATCCAAAAGATAAAACATATACACAAAAACAGACATGATCATATACACATTTGTAATAGTGGAACTATACTATGGAACTTGGGGAAGGAGGGAAAGGAAAAGGGAATGACAGAGTGTGAACAGTATTGTAATGCAAAACATCTGAAAGTAGAGGATACAAGGATGTGTATTGAAAGCTATTGAAAAATGGGGGGTGTGAGGGAAGGGACAATAGGGAGCAATGGAAGGGACTGAATGAACCAAAGTAAAGTACACTCACAGTGGGATGCAGTGAGACACCCCTTTGAACATCAACTTAGAGATTAATAAGGAAAGTCAGACTGTAGAATAAGTACAGTGTATGGGGGGCACTTGTGGGAGGGGGAGAGTGAAGGAAGGAGATGAAGGTGAGGGAATATGGTTGATGGACTTCATATACTTAGATGGAATAGAACAATAAAACCTCTTGCAATTGCTCTAAGTGGGGCGAGGGAGGGTTGAGGGGGAGAGATGGTGGGGGGCGATCTAACCAATGTACAATGTAAGCCTATTTGGAATTGTCACAATGAATCCCCCCTGTACAATGAATGTATCTAATAATAATAGTGAAATAAAACCAACAGCTGGGGATGTAGCTCAGTGGAAGAGTGCTTGCCTTGCATATTCAAGCCCTAGGTTTGGTCTCCAGCACCACACAAACAAAACAAGACCAAAAATACACTCCCTCTTGTCTCATCTCATGGACACAGGTTAAAGCTCCCGACCCATCTTGGGCTGGGTGTCAGAAGCAGAACTGGTGCTCTCCTTGCTGTGGTGCTGCAGGCCTGGCTCTGCCTCCTCATCAGAACACGCGCACTTAACCTGACTACTCCTTCCCTGCCAGGGCAGGGTGAGGTGTGGGAACTGGGGCGTGGGAGAGCCTGACAGCTTTGGAGTCAAGAGGAAATCACCAAGATAGTTGAGGACTTTTGACACATTCCGGTTTTGAGGGTGGGTAGATTAAGGGAATTGTTCCAACAGTGAGGCGTATCACTGAGCATGGTCAGCCTCGTAGCCAAAGTCACGCTCAACATCTGGAAGGTTGAGAATTTTTTTGGAGATGTGAGAGCTGACAGTGAAGGCTATCGCCAGCAGAAATGCTGGGCTGCCTGAACTGTGCCCTTCAGAGTGACCCTTGCAGGGTGGCTCGTTAATGTTATTCAGACCTTCATGACCCTCCTGTCTACTGATGACTCTTGCATGCTCTCCTCAAAGCTTTGTGCTGTGCTGGGCTTGGCATAGGGGTAGCATACTTTGGAGTGACTGCTGATGTCTGTCTTCCAGAGACACCATGGACAGTGTGAAGCAGAGTGCTGCCCTGTGCTTGCTGCGTCTGTATAGGACATCTCCTGACCTTGTTCCCATGGGTGACTGGACATCCCGAGTGGTGCATCTCCTCAATGACCAGCATTTGGTATGTGTTGGTTTTGATTCCACCCTTGTCTCCCAAGTATCCTTTTTTGGAAGAGCCACTGCAGAAGCAGCCCGTTGAGACTCCGAGGGTGGCGGGCAGTGTGACTGGTGCAACTCACACACAGGCCTCCAGCATTCCCGGGGTGCTCCCCAGGGACAGAGTGTTGTGGGGGTTCCCTCCTGGAACCTTAACCTAGGAAAGAACAGCATGTGGAAGGAAGGAATGTAACTTGGAGGAAGAAGTTATGTTAAGGAGAAGAAGCCAGGTGAAGGTAACGCTGGCATCCCTGGTACCTGCCTTGTGTGGGCTCTGATTGCGGGGGAGGTCTGCTGTCCTGCTTAAGTTCCAGCATAATCTTACCTTTCTTAAGCCAGGCCTCACTGTCATCCCAATTACAGATGAGGACTGGAGTCTGTGACTCAATGACTATGGTTACAGCATGTCACCTGGCCTGGGACTGCCCAGACTGGGTGAGAGTAAGCGATAGGCATTGGCCTCTGCTGCCTGTATGCTGCTGAGCAAATGAGTCAACTTGGTTTGGGCAGACAAGTATGTTAGCTGGTTACTGCTTTTCCCAGGAGAAATCTGCAGAAATTCAAAGTAAAATTTCAGAGGGCAGTGTGTTAGGTTGCACTGGGTACTCTGTGGAGTGACAGCTAAACTGACCTCATCACACTTGGGTGGGAGATGGAGCCAGATCTGGATCATGGTGCATGGAGAAGGCGGAGGCCTGGAGAGGGATTTGAACTCTGGGTGGGGAAGCGTGACCTCTGCAGGTTGGGTGTCTCTGGGGTAGAAGACCTGTTGGAGGCTGTCTTCGGTGTGTTTACACCACCACTAGGTGGACCCTTGAGCAGTGGGATTTTCCAGTTGTGCAGCTGAGGCAGCCAAAGCTCAAAAAGATCAGATGGCTGCTCCAGACTAGGATGGGTTGGGCCTGAGCCAGATCTTCAGAGAGCCTGTGTGGTCCCAGGCCCAGGTGTAGGGAAATGTTGAGGTGAGGCAGAGCTGTGAGGAGCTGTGGGCGGGCCTTGCATTGCCTGCAGCACCTTCTATGGATGGCTGTAGTTTGTGGGATTCTGACAAGTGGTGTCATCACTCCCACAGTCACATAGCCATGGCCACGCGGAGTGCTTTTCAAGGTGGTAAGGCCAGGTCTCAGGTGCCTGGAAGACACCTTTTGCTAGACAGAGTACTTCTGTGACCTGAACTCTGTGGTTTGCTTTTGGGTTTTCATGTTGTGACTGTTTTGCTGGGCTCCTTGGCTAGCATACTCTCAGCTGTAGATGACAGAAACAGCCTGATGTGGGTAAGTGGGGAGTGTGGCACAGTCTGACCCAGGAAGGTCCTCCATGAGCTAGTATGGTCTCCCTCTCTGCCCCTGTTGGTACATGTCCGGCTTTGCCATTACAGGCCTGAGACCTGGTTTTTCCTGGTATCGGGTTTGGGGACCATTTGGTGGGTGTCAGTTGCCTACCCAAAGTGAATGAGCCCCCTCAACCCCTTCACAGAGCAGTGTGGGAGCCAGGAGCTTGTGGAGGGGCGAGAGAGGTGAGGACAGGGCCTGGTGGACAAGTTGGGAGTGCAGGCTCAGGCAGGTGCTGTGGCTGTACTGGTGTGGAGTGAGGATCAGAGCCTGAACCCTGTGCTGTGTGCTGAGCCAGGCCTGAGGGCTGTGTGGTGGAACTGGAGGCCTAGCTGTTCTTTGAGGAGGAGCTGGGGCAGGGACTAGAGGGCAGTTCCCCGCATACTCACTCCCTGTGAGGCTGTGGAGGAAAGGAGAGCCAGCTCTGATGGGGAGAAGCCAGGTGTCAGGATGTTGGGAACCAGGGCGAGTAACTTCCGTGCTGAAGCACTCTACACTCACAAGTCTCTGGTCTCCGTGGACGTGGGGGATGCGCCAGCACTCATTGGCCTGCTGAGAAATGGGCAGAAAGGTGCAGTTAGGCCATTTGCTGAGCATAGCTGTTCATTACACAGCTTACTGTGGCTCTCACCAGGTTCCAGAGCTGACTGCGGGTAGGAGCCAGAGGGAGGGTAATGCCAGTGGATGGTTCCTGAGCTAACAGTTCATCTCTTCAGGGTCCTTAGTATCGTTTTTATTTGTTGTTTTTGAGTCGGAGGTTACAGTGCCTCAAATTTGTAATCTTGTTTTAGTCACCCAAGTGTTGGGGTTGTGGGCATTTACTACCACACTGGCTACAGTATTGGTTAAGTGAATTTCTTTACTTAATCAACCTTTCAAGAGATAGGAGTTACTGGGAACAGCTGTTGGTTATCCTGGGACAGTGGCAGTCTCCATGTCTCTGGGGTACCTCTCTGGGGTATCTCTTGGGCCTGATAGACCAAGAGAAAGGCCCTCATGCCTCATCTGCCATGGCCCTACCTGAATGAAGGGATCTGGGCCAGGCTCAGCTGGGTTTCCCAGTTTCCAGAGAGGAGATGTACACAGAAGCAGCCTGTGTGTGCTGCCTCAGTTTTGAAAACACTGAGGGTCCATCAGGGAGCCCAGATGGCTGTGGGCAGTAGGGTCCTGCTAGCCATGTACAGTTCTATGTGTGGCAGCTTCAGATCTTGACTGGAGTCTCAGTGCCTGCTGTTGCCTGTCTTCCAGGGCGTGGTGACTGCAGCCACAAGCCTCATCACCACACTGGCTCAGAAGAACCCTGAGGAGTTCAAGACCTCTGTCTCCCTGGCTGTCTCCAGACTGAGCAGAGTGAGTCCTGGTGGGGATGGATGGTAGGGCAGGTTTTTGTCTTCCTTATTTTTTAAATTATTTTTTGTGGTGCTGGGGTTTGAACTCAGCAGGTGGGCAAGGGCTCTCCACTGAGCCACACCCTCAGCCCTTCCTTATTTTGTTGAATTAATGTATTAGCTAACTTTTTAGAATGCAAGGTATTTGGCCTGCTTTGTAAATTCAAGAGTGGAAACTCTCCCTGTCAGTCCTTGGTTTTCTTTAAACTTCTTTGTTAGTTAAGAAGCATCCTCTCCCATCCTGTGGGTAGGTGGAGGGGCAGCTGCTCCACTTCTCCTCCCATGAAGGGCAGTACCTTTTCTCATCTGGCGTGGCGCCCACCCACCTGAATAAACAGCCCTGAACTGGTTTCTGGCTGTGACGAAGTTTTGGGTCTTGTCATTGGGCCCATGCATAGCATGCTTTGCATGTGGCTGTCCCATCAGCATTGTATGAAGTCCTCACCTTACTTTGGCGTCGCTGTTGCTGCGTTTCTGAGGCTGCAGAGATGAGGCTGTGTGGTGGACCATGACCTCCTCCTCACTGCCCTGGTGAGCCTTTTGCTCCTTTCCACTTGGAGGCTATCCAGGGAGGGATGCCTCCTGATGTGTGTGTGTGAAATGCTGCTGGCTTGCTTAGAAGTGCCACTGTGGCCAAGGGGTGGCAGCTCATAGACGGAAGGTAGTGCCAGGCCAGCTTCTGTAGTGCAGTGCAATTCCTGCACCAAGTCCCGCTGATGGCTGTAATGTTGGTGTCTTGGACTTCGTACCTTATCATGATGTGGACCATGCTTCCTGATTGTCAGTGAGGCTGGGCGCCTTTCATGTGACGGGCCCAGGTCTTCTGCCCATCTTTGTTTTGTCTGCTGTTCTTAGAATTTCTTTGTTTTAGATACGAATTTCTTTACTATCTATATAGTATATATAAATATATACTATATTTAAAGACAGAGGTCTTTAGATATGTTGGCTGTATTAGATTGGATCATACAAAATTGCCAACACTTAACCTTGGTTAGTCTTTAAAAATGTCGGCTTTGGACTGGCAGTGGCTCAGGCAGTAGAGTGCCTGCCTAACAAGCTGAATTCAAACTCCAGAACAACCAAAAAAAGAAAGAAAAAAGAAGAATGTCAGCTTTATGTGACCCAAACTAATCTGTATTTAAAGTCAGTGTGATGATGGGTTGTGTCATGTCTTTCTGTTGTTGTTGTTTGTTTTAACAGGGTCTCGATATGTAGCCTAGGCTGGCCTTAACCTTGAGATCCTCCTGCTTCAGCCTTCCGAGAGCTAGGGATTACAAGTGTGTACCACCACACCCTGCCATTTCACTGTCTTCACTGAGTCCTCTGTGGTCAGAGATTCCACAATGATGCAGTCAGATTTGCCAGTCTTCCACTGCAGTTAGTGCTGTCTGCACTCTTTGTGTGAAGTCTGGTACTGCATCTGCATGAGAGATGCCTTTTCTCTGGTGGCTTCCTTTGTCCTGGGGCCACACCAAAGGGCCTGCTACTTGGGGGAGCTTTTCTCCCAAACCAGGCTCTGCTTCCTGCCTGCCCTTCCCCCACTGGTCTCTTGGCTTCTGGAGCTCTGCCAGAATCCTGTGTCCTGCAGAGCAGCCCTTGACCCAGTCCCCACCTTGTTTGGGCTTGCCTATATGAACACAGCGTCTCTCCATTTCTTTCGACTTTCTCTCCATAGTGTTCTATAACATTTTAAGGTTCTATTTACCTTTTGTTAGAATTATTTCTATATGGTTTGTATTTAAAATGCTATCCTCAATGTAGCTGGGCTGGAACCCAGTACCTCTTACATGTTAGCCAAGTGCTTTACCACTGAGCTACATTCCCAGCCCCAAATTTTTACTTTTAACTGCTATATGTTAAATTATGCAAATAATTTTAAAAAACTTTGAACACTGTTCAAGTCTACCATCACAATAACTTTTTTTTTTTAGAGAAGAATCTTGAACAAAAAAATTTTTTTTTTAATTGAAGCAGTGTTGGATTGTGTGGTAAAGATTAGCAGTTCTTAGTTCTTAGTACTAAGGAAACGTAAGTGGAAGTAAAAATCCCATTTATAAAGCATCCCAATTTTTAAATCAACTTCAAGATTTACCAAATGAGCCTAGGTGGATAAAAATGTCCTAAGTGAACTTTTTAAGTACTCATCCACTTACTTGCCCAACATGACTCTAGTTCTCCACTCTTCTGGTTCCACCTGAATACTTGGGGCAGGAGCTTCCTAGCAGTTTAACAAGACAAACACTATATATCCAAAATATGGGTATTGGGATGGTTTTCCACTCATCTTGCTTCAGGGTGCTTTTAATGCTGCTTCCTTCTGAAGGAACATCCTTCTGTCAGCTTTGCTTCTCCTCCTGTGGGCTGGCAGAGGACAGTGGAGCATTCAGCACACAAAATTGCATTTGTGCGTGAGTAAAGACAGGAGTATTTTGTGGCATCCTGGGCATTTCACATCCATGAAGTAGGATGGGATTCTGCCCCAGGTGATTCTTCTTGTGTTTTCTCTTTGCCTCCTCTGGACAGGGATGAAGGAGATCCTTTGCGAGAGGCATGTTCTTGTGAGGAGGTTGTCACCATTGGAAAGGGCATCTCAACTTAAGTATAAAGTTCAGTGGTTTTAAGTAGATCTGTAATGTGCATCTGTTTCCATGGCTTTTCATTTTGTCAGCCCCCTCAGTGTGAGCTGATGTTCTCTGGGAGACGGGAAGGAAACAATGAAGAATACACCTGGCACTATAAGCAAGCTGTATTTCCAGGAACCAGTGTGATTTTTCAGGGACTCCTGTCAGGCAATATGTCCTATTCCCTTGGTTGTCTTACAGATTGTGACATCCGCGTCCACAGATCTTCAGGATTACACCTATTACTTTGTCCCAGCTCCCTGGTTGTCAGTCAAACTTCTGAGGCTGCTACAGTGCTACCCGCCTCCAGGTACTGTTCCCTGGTTTACCCCCCACCCCCACCCCAAATGATGTTCCCTGCCTCCTCCCAGCTCATATCCCCTGACATTCACAAGTGTTCCTGACAGCCCTTCTTACGGGTACTGGCCACAAGGCCACCCACCCCCAGGAGGTGGGTATGGGGGGCTCAGCTTACACAGATCTCTTACCGGGGGGCTTGAATCCCACAGCTTAGCTCTACGTCTCTGTTTGTTGTTATGAAAGTTGGTGATGAGGGCTGAGAACTTGGCTCAGATGGTAAAGCACCTGCCTAGCAAGCATGGGGCCCTGACTTCAAATCTCAGTACTGCCCTCCCCCCACTCCCCACCCCTCAAAAACAGTCACTTCCAGATGCACTCACATCCCTAGAACTGGGAGCCAGAAAGTTGGTGATGAGCCCTGGATCCTGGCTGGGTGCTGCCCTTGTTTTGCTTTCACAGAGCAGTTGTTGGAATGCTTAGCTTTACTAGGACCAGGGCTTCTTTCTCTGCTTTTATTCAGTGTCAGATCTGGGCAATTTCTTTTTTCCCTTTTTGGAGACCATGTTACCCAGGCTGGTCTTGAATTCCTGGGCTCAAGTGACCCTTGTGCCTCAACCTTGTGGATAGCTGGTTCCACAGGTGTGTGCCACCACACCCAACTTATACATCTGTGAATTTTTTGAGACAGTCTTCTTGAGTAAAACTTAAAACCATTAGAAACTTTGTGTCTTAAAATTTTAATAGTCTGATGTCTTTATGTTCATAATTTCATCCTAAGACATTACATTCAATTTCCAAGATGCGTCTCTAGAAGTAGAATTCCTTGGTTGAAAAATGTGCTTGTTATTCCAGACTGCCCTGTAAAAAAGATTACTTTGTTAGCCAGCCTGAAAAAAGACATATACATATTTATTTATTTATTTAGTGGTACTAGGGTTTTGAACTCAGAGCCTCACACTTGCGCTCTACCAATTGAGCCTTCCTCCTTGTCTGCTTTTAGTTGTTTTTCAGATAGGGTCTCATATTTTGCCCTGACCGGCTTTGAACCACAATCCTCCTGCTTCTTCTTCCTACATAGCTGGGATTACAGAGTGTACCTTCATACCAGGCTTGTTTTCAAAGATAGTATCTCACTAACTTTTTGTGCAAGCTGGTCTAGTATCCCAGTTCTTCTATCTCTGCCTCCCAGAGAGCTGGGATAACAGGTATTACCCATTACACCTGGCTGAACCTTTGTATTTTAACCTAATTTATTTTTGTATAGGGGATTTCTTTGTTGAAGTCAGGTAACTTTCTATGCTGAATACCCTTTTTTTTTGGGGTGGGACTGGGCTTTGAACTTGAACTCAGGGCTTTGCACTTACAAAGCAGGTACTCAACTGCTAGAGTAGAGTACCATCAGTCTATTTTGCTCTGGTTATTTTGGAGATGGGGGTCTCAAGAACTCTGCCTGGACTGGCCCCAAACTGCAATCCTCCTGATGTCAGCCTTCTGAGTAGCTAGGATTATAGGTATGAGTCACTGGTGCCCAACCTGAATACCTTTTTACACTGAATAGAAGTGCTGAACTGCACCCCTTGTTGGAGCCTCCCTGCTTTGCCCAGTCCAGCCCCCAGCAGTTCTCTTTGGTGGACAGGAAGGGCTGCTGCTCCTGAGAAAAGCTGGCCTTCCTCTCTTTGATGCTGGGGACATAGACTTAGTCCCTTCCCCACTGGCCATTGTGTGAATTTCAGCATCTTCATCTCTGTCAGTCTGTAGTTTTTATTTCTTATGCTGTGGTTGGCAGGACCCCTGCCCTTCACCTGACATCTTTGTGTTCAGGTTGTGTGCTTTTCAGGGCCCTCTGTATGTGAACCCCTTGGGGTTTGATGGGGCCCTGTTCCTGAATGACTTGTTTTGCAACAAGCTGGGTGCATTGTTGGTTTTCTGTAAACATGTTGCGTGAATTATTTCTGATACTCTGGTATTTTTTTTTTCTATTGGTTTTGTATGCTTTTTGTCCATTATCTTTTTTTTTTCTGATTTGAATGGAATTAAATTTTTTTCCTTCTCTTTATGTCTCTGTTTACAACATTTTCTCCATTTATGTTGGGATAGCAGGGAGAGCTTTAGCTCATGCTTTGTTCATGTGGCATAGGCTTTATTTCCTCATGACTGTCTCTTATCTCTGCAGAAGTGCTCTGCCTGTTACTTGCATTGAAAATGCAGGTTTGCTTTCCATAGCTGCTAAAGCTTTTCATTTCTGAGGTTTATGCCACTTGAATGGGGATGTTTATGCTCCCCACTGTTGTCTGTCTTGTTTTTGCAAATGCATTCAACCATGTTCACAGCTGTGAATGACTCAAAAGTGACCACATGCTGAGTGCTGGTGGCTCATGCCTATAATCCTAGCTGCTTGGGAGGCTGAGATCAGGAGAATCATGGTTCAGACCGGGCAGATAGTTTGTCAAGAACCCATCTCCAAAAATAACCAGTACAAAATGGACTGGAGGTGTAGCTCAAGCAGTAGAGCGTCTGCTTTTCAAGCACAAAACCCTGAGTTCAAACCTCAGTCCTACTAAAAAAAAAAAAAAAAAAAGTGTTCACAAGATGTGCATTGTGTTGAGGGGTCCTCTTGCCCAGGTATGGGGCTGGGGGCTGGGGCTGAATGGGCCAAGGGCCTGGGAGCCTGGCCAACAATTTTGTCTTGCCCAGAAGACCCTGCAGTGCGAGGCCGCCTGACTGAGTGCCTGGAAACTATCCTGAACAAGGCTCAGGAGCCACCTAAGTCAAAGAAGGTCCAGCATTCAAATGCAAAGAATGCTGTGCTGTTTGAGGCAATCAGCCTGATCATCCACCATGACAGGTGAGCTGCTGTTGCTCAGTGTTCATCTGTAGCCCCTGGCACTGGCTTCTTCTCTTCAGCTCTTGCTTGGCCTGCTCTGGGGAGAATGTCTCTGCCCTCCCTGGCCCCGGTGGTCTCACTAGCTACAGCCTTATCTGCAGGACCTCCTTCTGCCCTCAGCATTCCATCCATTTCTGAGTGGTTTCTCTCATCATCCTAGAGAGGGAGTAGGGTGCATGTATCCCATTGGCTTTGCTGGTCATGGAGCTGTACCCTGTAATGCTCCCCTGGGACTGACCATGCTTATCTTCCACAGAGGAACATGGGGCTGGTCAGCCATTCTGCATAGCATGGGCTTCTTCCCACCTTTTCTCTGGGGCTTCTATGGGTGGCAGCACTGCACTCTGGGTTTCTGAGAGAGGACATGGAGGCCATGGGCAGGGCTGTGGCAGACAGCAGCCCTCAGGTTGGCAGGGAGCAGGTAGTTCTGCTGAGGCATGTTTTTACAAATGGCTTCCTATGGCAAAAACACTGAATCACACTATGGCAGGGTTTTGTACTGTAAAAAACAGATTTCCAATATGAGAGAGCACCTCACTGTCTTTATTAAATGTATAAAAAGAGAGCTATGTGGTGAAGAGGAAGGGCAGTGAGAACAGACAGCTGCATTCTGTGTCTGCTGTGCCTACCACACACTGGCTGCCTCACCTTTCAGTCCAGGCTAAGGAGCAGCTAGTCCTTTTCTGGTCATGACTTGATGAAAGCAAAACTCCCAGAGTCGAGGCTCACTGTGGCTGGTCTGTGTTGGTTCCCGCTCTGGAGGTTTTCTGGGGATAGCAGCTGAAGGTGTTCTTACCAGAGTGGATGCAGAATTGAGCTTAGAACCAGTTTGGGTCTCCATGTCTCAGGGCCCTTAGGGTTCTCCCAGGACAGCATGTGGTTTCGCCTTCCCCACCTGACATGCAGCTGGGAACTTAGGCCTTCGCTCCTCACCATGGCCTTCCTTACCTTGCTCCTCCTCACCATGCCCTCCTCACCTTGCTCTCTTCTTGCAGTGAGCCGAATCTTCTGGTCCGTGCCTGCAACCAGCTGGGCCAGTTCCTGCAGCACCGGGAGACCAACCTGCGCTACCTGGCTCTGGAGAGCATGTGTACGCTGGCCAGCTCCGAGTTCTCCCACGAGGCCGTCAAGACCCACATTGAGACTGTCATCAATGCTCTCAAGGTGTGCTGACATCTGGTCAGAGCCACTGACCTCTGTGTGGAGGCTGGAGTTCCTGTGAACACAGATGAGACCCTTCAGCAGTTCAGTTTGGGTCCTGAGGCACTGGCCCTGTTCCTGTCACCTGCTGTCCCACAGGGTGGGCACAGCAGTTGGGTGAGAGAGTTGTTACCCTGTGGTGAAGTCTTGCTGTGGTATAAGGCCACACTGTCTGTCCCTCACATTGGGACTCTGGCCATGGAGCCACTGCAGGCCATCTTTGCCTTTTGGCTAAGTTTGTGCCCGTGATGGCACGTGTGGCCCTCCTTTGGCACCTTGCTTGTAGTCTCAGATAATAGTGCAGTGAACAGGATTGGCTCTGTTTTTGGTTAAAAAGATGAAATATTTTATTCTCCAAGAAAACTCCCTTTGCAGATCATGGATTTCAGACTTTTTTTTTTTCAGTACTAGTTCAATACAGAACTGAGGGCCTTGCACTTGCTAGGCTGATGTTTTCCCACAGGAATCACACTCCCAGCCCTTTTTTTAAGTTATTTTTCAGATAGAGTCTTGCCTGGAACTGGCCTTGGACTGTGATCCTCTTACCTCTGCCTCCTGAGTAGCTGGGATCACAGGTACACACCACCATGCCCAGCTTTGTTGAGATGAGGTCCTGCTAACATTTTTGCCTGGGCTGGCCTCGAACCACCAGCTTCCTCATCGCTGCCTCCTGTGTAGCTGTGATCACAGGAGTGAGCTACCACATGTGTCTCAGATTTCAGAGTTTTTTTAAGGATTAAAATTCCAGAGTGGAAAGAACCTGGTCATGTTGTCGTTTCCCATGCCTGCTTGAGTTTCTTGGTGATCTCACTGGCAGTCCCTCGGTGCAACACACACTGGCCACACAGTCCTGCTTGTTAGTACAAGGTGTTAGGAAACTGTAGGCAGAAGGGGACCCAGGTGCCTTTTCCTGGCCTGACCTTGGACTGTCATGAAACATCTGCTTTCTGTGTTGCACCTTATATTTGGTGTCTGCTTTGCATACAAGGCCAAGTTTTTCCTGATTTGCTGTCTCTTTTAGTCATTCCCTGTAGTAAGACAGCTCTTGCCTTATGTTGGTCCAGCCCTTGCTGGGTGACCTCTATGCTACACCAGGGTTTCCCGTTTTCTACCACTGTGGGGTCCACAGGTGTGGGGCACTCATTCTCAGACCATGATGTGGCACCTCTGGGGTCTTGTTCAGATGCCACTGGGGCGTGGCTGAGAACCTGCCTTGTAATGAGCCCCCGGGTCACACAACATAGAAGGTGATGGTATGTGACCACACAATGGAATAGATTGGTCTCAGTGATCAATCTTCCCTGAGCATGGTCCTCAGAGGAGCTGGCCAGTGAGGCAGTGTCAGTGAAAGGACAGAGTTAGATTCCAGGTCCAAGTATAGAGAGCAAGGGTGAGGAAGTGGGGGTGTGAGGGGATTCTGGATATAGACAGCGAGTAAGGGGCACCCAGCATGGTTGTTGGAGCAGAAGGGCACCCTGCCTGATGACCAGCTCCCATGGAATGTGTGGGTACTGTGCCCAGGTAGAGGCACCTGTCCACCAGTCTGTGCTTCGTGTGTGTGTGTTTGACTCTGCCTTGTTCCCCCAGACGGAGCGGGACGTGAGTGTGCGGCAGCGGGCTGTGGACCTGCTGTATGCTATGTGTGACCGCAGCAACGCCCAGCAGATTGTGGCCGAGATGCTGAGCTACCTGGAAACGGCTGACTATTCCATCCGAGAGGAAATTGTGAGTTGCTGTGAGGTCTGAGTTGTTGCCTCTATGGCTGTGTGTTTCAGCTGGATTGCTGGTGGTTTGCAGTTGTATCTGGCAGCTTGGCTGAGTATCTATGGGACACTTGATAAAAGGTTCCTTGGCATCAGCTTTCCAGCCAGCAGTGAAGCCAAAACCCCCACCACTAACAGGCTTTCCTGTTGTTTCGTCCTTTTAGTGTGGACAGTCTGACAGCTTGGGGTTTGATTGAGGCTGCAGCTGTCTCTGCCCAGATGAGCAGGAGTTCAGATTCTTGAGGGCAAAATTCTCCTTAGTTGTGCTTAGATTTTTATTTTTATTTTTTGGTGTTACTGTGGGTTAATTCAGGGCCTTGTACTTGCTAGGCAAGCACTCTACCACTTGAGCCACACACCCAGTCCTTTTGCTTTTTAATGCTTTTTCAGATTGGGTCTTATTTTCTTTGATTGGCCTTGGACCATGATCCTTCTGTTTTGGCCTCCAGAACAGTTAGGATTATAGTTGTGCACCACCATGCCTGGCCCTGTGTGAAGATCTTAAACCTTTGATGCTGGGCGTGTTTAACTTACATCCCTTTGTGTATCTGCAAGCGTCTTAGCTGTGGCCAGCTGTGTGGAGTGTTGGTTTCTAGTGTGACTGATGTCATCCAGGAGGTAGTGTATACTCCCTGTTTGCAGTACCGAAGTCTGGGGGGAGAAGCTGTTAGCTCTATCTCTGCTCCTCACTTGGCTGCTGCTGGCTTCTCCAGGCCTCTTGGGGTCTTTTTTGACAGTGGATCGTGGGATTTAAGTGTGGAGGACAGTGTGTTGCTAGTTTTTAAGGAGCAGATGCCCTCACTAGCCGTGACTGCAGCTCCCCAAGGCTGAGCCAACTTAGACCTAGGGGAAGCAGTGTTTTCTCATTTGTCCTTTTGGGGAGCAGAGTGTGACTTGAGGCTTTGTTGGGAACTTGTGGGGTGACAGGGCCAATGTGGGTGCTAGCTGGATGGCTTCATGGTGCTGCTGAAGGTTTCTTAGAGAAAGAACAACAGTTGAGTGGGAATTGGGGTGCTGGGAGAAGGGTCCAGGTGGGGTGGGTGGGAGCTGCCTGATTCTAGGTAGGATGCTAAGGACGGGTTATTGATCAGCTTTCCCTCACTGTAATGAAATACCTGAGAAAGTTAACTTGCAAGCATACTGGCTCACAGTTTTAGAGGTTCAGGTCCAAGACTCGGCAGGCCTACTGCTTTGGGCCTCTGGTGGGTGTGCCAGGTAGTAGTAGTGTGGAGTGCCTGATGAGCAAACTACTCCCTCAGGGCAAGAGTAGGAGGGGAGAAACCTCAGTCCCATAGCCCCTCAAGGACACACCCCAGTGACCTCAGCACCTCCCACAGGGCCCCTCCTCTTAAAGGTCCCATCACGTCCTAATGCCCCACCCTTGGACCCTTGGGTGACATTCTAGATGCAACAATGGCAGGTGGTGTGGGAAGAGGGCACTATGTGTAGGGAAGGGCCTGGTGGGCCATGTTTGGAGTGAGTCCCAGCAAGTGGTTTAACTTCAGCCAGGGTTTGCTTCTGGCCTGGGCAGGGTGGCCTGTGTGGAGCGGGGCCAACAGTCACCAGATTGTCCTTCTTCATGTTGTTCAGGGTGTGTCCAGCAGAGACGGCAGGACACATCTGTCTGCATAGGGATATGTGTTTTAAGGGCTGGAGCACTTACTTTGTGACATGTGGCACTCCTGTTAGGTTTAGTTGCATGTCCCTCAGTCCTAGGTCGACTGCTCCACCCACCTGTCCTGTCCATCCCACCAGGAATGTCAGAGCATGAGCTCTGCAGTCATGCTTTGTGCTGGGCATGCTCAGCTACATGGCCAAAAGGGAATCTTTCCACTCTGGAAGCTCAACAGTGGACAGGACAGTGGTCTGCACATGTGGGGTGCTGTCCTGAGGCAGGGCCTCACCTTCTGCGGGAGGCGGGACTAATATGGTCCAGAGACAACAGGGCTGGAGGTGGTGGTGGAACCCTGAGTATGTGGTTGAGTGAGTGCTAGGCTCCAAGACTGTGCGGGGAGGTGGAGCCCAGGACCTCAGCCTGCCAGGCAGTGCTCACTGCTGAGTCACATCCCCAGCCTAGGCCATGCATTTTGAATAATGCTCTGGAAGTGCTGTGGGGTTAGCTTGAGAGGAGCATGTGGGCAAGGCAGGTGTCAGGTAGTCCAGGCTCCAGGCAGGCTGGGCTCTGGGGGCCCAGCTGGCTGGAAGTCAAGGGAGGGGATGGTAGGGTGAGAGTGCAGAGCTGCCATGTGAAGGGGCAGATGCATGAGGGGCAGATCATGATGGCTCTGGGTCTCGTGTGGCACTTGACACAAGAAGAGGGAGACTTTGAAAAGATAAGGTTGGTTTTGGACAGCCAGGCAGAGTTGCCTAGTGAGCAGCTGCCCTTGTGGGTGTGAGTCTAGAGGCCCTTGGGGACAGTGTGGAGTGGAGAGCAAGTGGGTCTCCCATGGGAGGCATGTGGGATTGAGGAGAGGATGAGGGCCACAGGAGGTGGTGAGGAAGACTGGTTAGGGGGAACACTGCAGGATCCTAAAGAGAGGAGAGGATGCAGAATGGGGGCTCACCTGGGGACCATGTGCAGTGATGACCTCAGTGGTGTCTGTGAGGGGCAGCACCATGGCCTGTTGCACCTTGGCTTGGCTACTGCTCTGCATCTGTCCCTGGAGGTTGGTTAGCTTCCCCCAGATGAGTTGGTGAATCCCCACTCTCTGGGCCCATGGGCTCCTCTGAGAATCTAGTGAGAGCTCCCACATCCCAGTTTTTAGATCCTTCTGAAGACTTGCACAGACACTGGTGACAGCTGGTCCTTGGTGTTGCACCTGCCTGACCAGCCTGTCCTCCCGCAGGTGCTGAAGGTGGCCATCCTGGCTGAGAAGTACGCCGTGGACTACACCTGGTATGTGGACACCATCTTGAACCTGATCCGCATTGCCGGAGACTACGTGAGCGAGGAAGTGTGGTACCGCGTCATTCAGATCGTCATCAACCGCGATGATGTGCAGGGCTATGCTGCCAAGACTGTGTTCGAGGTGTGGCCCAGCCCAGCTGGGACTGCTGGGGTGTTGCTCCTTCCCTTCTGCTCCTATCGCTGTTCTCTGGGATTCTGCCCTTCTGTTGCAAGTTTCCTCTCACCCTAATTTCCAAAACCACACCTGGTTTGAAGGGCTACCTGACAAAGCTGCCTGGGCCTCACACTCATGCTGGCCTTTGTGTGAGGGGACACCAAGGGTCTGATGCACTTGAGGGGCCTCTGAGGAACAGCCACTGGCCTTGCTGAAGACTCCCCTGCTGCTAGTGTGCTGCAGCTGACCTAGGGCACTAACATCTGTAGCTTTGGGGAAAGCTGGCAAGGAGGGCCCTGTGGTCCTTGCTTCAGCTAGTTGTCACCCTGAGCCCACCTGCCCCTGCTCCTTTGCTGTGGTTAGCCCTTGGCCCTGGCTCATTGTGTCCATGGTTTCCCAGGCTCTGCAGGCTCCAGCATGCCACGAGAACCTGGTCAAAGTGGGTGGCTACATCCTGGGAGAGTTTGGAAACTTGATAGCTGGGGACCCACGATCCAGGTAAGAGAGCCCAGGGAGCTAGAGCATGTACCCTGTTCTGGGATGCCCTGACCTCCCCCAAAGAGGGCACGTATCTTTTCCAGGAAGTCACCACTATGCCCAGTGTCTAGCCCAGTATGGCTTCTGGATGAAATGGCTGGTGGCTTGGGCCAAGCAGTTGGACCAGGTGCTGGAAATGTGGCCTAATGGAAGGCTTCTGCTGTAGGGCAGGGTCTCCCCATCTTGCCACAGGCACCAGGCTGAGTGCATGATGGTGCTGGGGACAGGTGAGGTAATGAGGCTCCTTGCCTGTGCTCTCTGCCACTCCCAAGCCCTCTGATCCAGTTCAACCTACTTCACTCCAAGTTCCACCTGTGCAGTGTCCCCACTCGGGCACTCCTGCTGTCTACCTACATCAAGTTCGTGAACCTCTTTCCGGAGGTGAAGGCCACCATCCAGGATGTACTGCGCAGTGACAGCCAGCTGAAGAATGCAGATGTGGAGCTGCAGCAGCGGGCCGTGGAGTACCTGCGGCTGAGCACCGTTGCGAGCACTGACATCTTGGTATGAGCTGGCTAGCAGAGCTGCTCGGCACGGGGGTCACTGGGCTAGTACTGAGTGCCAAACTTATTCTCTGTTCTGTATAACAGGCAACCGTCCTGGAGGAAATGCCACCCTTCCCGGAGCGCGAGTCCTCCATCCTCGCCAAGCTAAAGAAGAAGAAGGGCCCAAGCACAGTGACTGACTTGGAGGAGACCAAACGGGAACGGAGTGTTGATGTGAATGGGGGCCCTGAGCCTGCCCCAACCAACACTAGTGCTGTGGTAGGTCCTTGCCACTATGCACCCAGACCCCACCAGGGCTCCATGCCCCGAGGTTGGGATTGGCAGAACATGTGCTCATTGGAGCGTTTTATTAAAACAGAGTGTGTGATGAGAGCCTAGTGGTAGCCCCAGTCCTGAGGTCTGTGTACCCCTGCACCTGGGCTCTCCAGGGCAGACTGTCCTAGGAGGCCAGAGTCTGTCCATTGGATGTGTCTTTGAGATTGGCTTCTTGGAGCTGGGCCAGCTCCAAGTGTGTGGTGACTTGTTTTTGAGGCTGTGGCCACTTGCCCCTCCTGCCGGAGGATTGTTGTGTGCCCTTTGCTAGCTTAGAATGGACTTGCCTTGTCTTGTTACCTCTTGGAAGTTTTCTGTAGTGAGTTGGAGTAGAACAAATTTCCCCTTTATGTGACATGATAAGAATGTGCATGTAGATAAAAATATGACCTTTCATCTGTTGGGTGGGAAATGCCATTGTGAGAGCTGTGTGTGCATTTTCTTTTTCTAACTAAGGCAGGGTTGCCAAGATCCAGTACAGCAGCTGTGTCCCTGCATACCACCTCCTGCTCCTAGGAGAGTCCCCATTGTGGCCCTGTGGACTTTCTGTTTAAGGGAATACTGGGGAGATTTGTCTCTAGCATGCTGGTCCAGTGACAACAGTAAATGTTGCTTACACGTGTCAGGTGGAACCTTGCTAGGAAAGGCTGCGTGGTATTGTGTGCTGGGCACAGAAAGACCTGGCCCTGCTGGTCTCCTCTTCAAGAGAATGCTAACATCTGAGCCCTGGCCCTCCTCGGTGGGGTCTCCTTGTGAGCTGCCTTCTGACTGTGTCTTGCCCCTTAGACCAAGGATGCTGGCCTACAGTGAGACCTGTGCAGTGGACTCTCGGTGTATGTGGGTTGTCTGGTTCCAAGGAGACTTTGCCATTGAGGAAAAACCACGGATGCTCGTGATGCATAGAGTTCAGAACTATACTGGGAATGGTTGATTTGTTTTTCCCTAAGGCCATCCAGCTTCCACTAAAGACATACCACCATTCAGCAGATGTAAATTTTTCACTTTTCTACTCAGGTTAAGCACATTCACTTTTACCTTCCTTTTGGGGCACCATTTGCTTTTTGGGAAGTAGATTTTCACAAATTCAGGGGCAGGGAAATAGCAGATCTACGATTTAAATCTAACTGGCTATAACACAGGACTGACTCCGCATCACTGAGCTGTGTAATGTATTCACAGGAAGTTGAAATTTTTGTTTTTGAAATTTTTCTTTTTTTTTTTTTCGTGGTACTGGGACTTGAACTCAGTGCTTTGTGCTTGCTAATGTAGGCACTCTGTTGCTTGAGCCATGCCTCCAGCCCTTGAAATCTCTTTGCATTTTTGAAAAATAAATGTTTTGAGGGTGCTTGTTCAAAACCGTGTGTAATAAATCTGCAAATGAGGTGGGCAAAGTGAGGTGCCCGGATCCTCTGGACAGACCCTGCCCCAGCCTCCTCTGCCCCATGCTGCTGCCTTTTCTTTCCCAGTCATTCCTGCTGTGCCACCTCTGGGCGTTTGCCTTCTCCCAGCTGTGCCCACCGCTTGAATTGGATTGATTTTGGAGTCAGTGAGAAGCATATGTGTTCTTCCCCTCATGCCTGAGCACTTCAGTGGTTAGCGCTCAGTCCCTGTTGCTATTTCCTAACGTGCTTGTCCCATGGAACCTTGCAGCCACCCCCCTGATGCAGGCCTCCTGTTATCTTTCCCCTCTGTGGGCAACTTAACACTTCAGAGGGTTAGCGAAGAAGTTGTGAGAGTCCTCCTTGTTCTGGAGCTTGTTGCTAGAGTGGATTGGCAAGGTGACTTGGGTTTCTGGACAGAGTGCATAAATGGGAGTTTGTGCTGTGCCAGAACAGGCTTCCCATGGGCACTTGGTGATGGTTTCTCTTCAGAGCCTATGCCAGGGAGAAAGGGCAGTAGCTGTGTCCTGCAGAGAAGAGGCCACAGGACCCAGGCAAGGTGAGCTGGTGAGACGCACACGTGGGAGACAGATGAGCAGGGCACTCTGACTGCCACAGACCAGCCAGGTCACTAGGGAGCCTATTGAGGACCATGCCACTGTTCATCTGGAGTGCCAGGTGCTCCTGTCCTTCCTTGCAGCTTCCATGGGCACAGACAAGAGCTTTGGCAGCGATACAGCTTTGTCGTTGGTCTTTCTTTGGTTCTTCCTTGTTTTTTATTTCCATGTTGACCCTGAGGAGTAAGATGCTACCCATGGCCCAGGTACCTCGGGAGCTAGCTAGGGACAGGCCGAGGTGCGGCCATGCAGCTCAGCGGGAACTGCACAGGGCCTTCCAGATGTGCGAGAGCAGCCCCTGAAAGGTGGAGTTGGGCTCTGTGAGACTTACATTTCTTGGGTCTTCTCAGGGTCAACTGAGTAAGCTTTCCACTTGTAGGTACATGTCCTTCCTGACTGTAGCGGGCGCCTGGCTGGTGGTTGCTACCTAAGTAGGTGTTTGTGGTTGTGAGCAAGTGGCTTCTTCTGCACTGAAAACTAGGGGTGCCAAGGATGCCAATGGGATGAGGTCTCCAATCTGTCCTCAGAGCTCCATGACAGGCCGCAATGAGACTCCCTCCTGAGGAGGGGGCACTGGGGGACCTGGGGGACAGGAGAGCAGGACAGGACACATGCCCCTGGGTGTTGGGGCTTCACATGAAAGTGGCACTTTTTATCTGGAGCAATATTGGCCAAAGTATCTTTTATTTAAGAGCATGGTGATGCCAGACCACTTTTTTCTTTGCAAAAATCTTACCTGCAAGCTCTGTGGAGGAGCCCGTGGCACACCTGCCTGCAGTGCCTGGGCCTGTGCCTGGTGACTACTGGCCTCCTTGTTGGCCAGTCGTCCGTCAGAGGCTGACCTCATTTGAGTCTGCATATAGGGAGCTTTTCATTTAGTCCCTCTTGTTTCTGTTGGAGAGAAGAACCTCACGCTCCTCCCTCCAGACCTCAGGGGAAGTTTTCTGGGCAGGGAGCACTGCAGGAATGTTCCCCGGGCCTGAGGAGACAGTGGAGTAGGAAGGTGGGGGAGGGGTCCCGTGTCTGGCTTGCTGGGTTTTCCTGACAACACCTTGCTTTTGTGGTTTGTGTAACTTTAGGGTATGTATTTGATATAATAGGACAAAAAGGGATTCAATTTGAAAGCATTGCCTAGGTTGCTGCTCTCATTGGCTCCTGTGAGGGAGCTGCATAGCCACAAGAGGTCCCTGGAGTCTACTCTGTCTTTGGCCCCACAGGCCCTCTCAGTACTGACTACCAGCAGCAGCTGTGCCCTGGCAGGCTTGCCTTGCTTGCCCAGGGTCTTGGTGGCCTGGGGCTCTGTCTGTTTACACTCACACCACTTGTATAGCGTGTACTTTGTAATGCCTTATTTGTCTTGATAAAACATTGGTACATAATGTCACATACCTACATGTGTGCCTTTTGCAGGACATGGTACAAAGGAGCACAAAGCAGAGGTTTGTAGTTGTCTGTACTAACCTTACCATTTCCACACTTTGCCTGGGGATAGGGGCAGGAAGCTTAGTCGGAGGCCTGACTGTGTGCAGGGAATGCATGTGCCTCTAGCCCTCAGGGTAGCTGCATTCTTGGAAAAGTCAGTTCAGACTAAGCAAAAGATATGTTGTATTAATGTAAAACGGTATTAGAATCTGTCTCAGGAAATTATAGATAGAGTTTTTGCCTTCATGAATGCCCAGTAGTACATTCAAAAGTTACTCAAGGTATCTTCAAGGCATAGTTTCTCATATCTCCCATGGAATACCAGTGGAGTGGTGTACCACAGCCAGTCTCCATCCCTAAAAGCACCGTGGATAGTATGAAAGCATTCTGTTCAGCTTTGTGATGTGGTGGGTCCCTGGGCACCACTGGGTCCCAGAGCAGAGCTCAGTTCTGGTGGCAGGTGCTCAGTGGTTTTACGTGCAGCAGGAAGGAGCCAGTGTCAGTCTGAAGAGTGAGTATTAGGTGACTCAAGCTGCACCCTGGTCCTGTGGGACTTGAGGGGCTGAAAAGCAATTAATTTTAGAAAGTGTCTGGCCTATTTTTTTAATAACTAAATAAAAAATGATTAAATTAAAGATGGGTACTAATAAGTTACAAGCTTTTTCATCTTTTAGAACTTATTTTTAGCCCAGTGTTGGTGGCTCACACCTGTAATCCCAGCTACTTGGGAGGCTGAGATCAGGAGTATCATGGTTCCAGGCCATCCTGGGAAAATAGTTTGAGAGACCCCATCTCCAAAATAACCAGAGCAAAATGGACTGCTTGTAAAATGCCTACAAGCACAAATCCCTGAGTTTAAACCCTAGTCCCACAAAAATAAAAGAAAGAAAAAGAACTTACTGTTTTTTGGGGTGGGGGTACTGGGATTTGAACTTAGAGCTTCACACTTGCTAGGTAGGTACTCTGTCACTTGAGCCATGCCCCCAGCCCCTTTTTGATTTCTTTATATAAAACATTTTGCATTTTTGCCCTGGCGCTCAGCCTCAAACAGAGAGGCACCTTGTTTGAGATAGAGTCTCCCTAACATTTTGCTTGGGCTGGCCTCAGACCAAGATCCTCCTGATGTCCGCCTCCTGAGTAACTGGGATTACAAATGTGAGACACTGCTCCTGGTTACATGGTCTTATTTCCTGAACCATACATATCAATTTCTTTGATGTCAAAAATGTTTGCAGACCTTTTTTTTTTTTATATTCAAATAACATTTGTGGGAAAATGAAAGGTGTTTTCTTAGTTATGTGAAATTGTGAGTAATCTTGTGAGGTGATTGTCTCATCTTGACTCTGGGGTACACTTTCTTCTCAGAAATGGCTGTCAGCCCTAATTTGCTGGTCAGCAGCCTCTGGGCTTCTTGCTGGCCCTCCCCGAGCCTGTTGTGGGAATGGACACAGGGAAGGGTGGGGTGGGCGGGATGGAGGGCCATGACACATACTTGAGTGTCCAGAGACTGTACACTCCGAGTGCACATACTGACACTCTCCTTCCTTCCTGTTACAGTCCACACCTTCTCCATCGGCAGACCTGCTGGGTCTGGGGGCCACTCCCCCTGCCCCCACGGGGCCCCCTTCCTCCTCCGGCGGCGGGCTGCTGGTGGATGTGTTCTCAGACTCTGCTTCTGCGGTTGCACCACTTGCTCCCGGCTCTGAAGACAACTTTGCCAGGTAGCCAGTTTCCTGAGTTCCCAAAACAAGTGGTGTGACCAGGGTCAGCTGGGCAGAGCCACCTGGGAGGGATGGTGGAAGCTGCATTTCGTGGGTGGGTTTGTACTCAGTCTCCAGCACCTAACAGGCTGCTGGTTGTCAGTGAGGTGGTCGGTGTTGTTGGGGGTGATGGGCGGCGTGGGCTGCTGTGGCTGTCCAGTTGATTTAGTGTCTGATGATGTTGTCTCTACTGTCCCTTCTCCATAGAATGTTTGATAAATGTTCTGGACCTGCTTCTTCTTTTCCCTTAACCCCCTGTTCTCTTCTGATGCTTTCAGATCTGACCTTAAAAACAAAACAAACAAAAAACCCCCTTTAGCCATGTTCCTGGTTACCTGCCTGTGGCCAGGCAAGTTCAAGGCACCTGTCTGGCTCTTTGCTCTTGATTGCACAGGTATCTAGGGCCTCCTGGCTTCTCACCTGCTGTGCCCTGTACCTGACTCCTTCCTCTCCGACTCCTTCCTCCCCAGCTCCTTCCTCCCCATCTTCCTCCATTCTCAAATTGGAGCCGTCAAACTGCTCTTCACAGCACTCACTCTGTCCTTGTTCTGTTGTTGGGCTGATTCTGCTTGTGTCTAAGCTCATGGACAGTGTGAAGGTCCTTGTCTCTGCCCTATGGTGACTGTAGGTCTCTATCTTGGGTGTGGAAATTAGAAAGCCTCAGAGTGGCCCTTTGTCCTCTTTTTGATAACAGAGGGCTTCCTGTAGTTCTTGGTGTTTTCTTGTGTTCATTTTGCATATGTATTTTTAGTTCTGTCCAGGGAAGGTGTGTTTGGTGCAGGCTGACTTTCTCTGGCTGAAAACAGACTTCTTACCACTGTAGAACTGCTGAGTTTGGAGTTCAAAAGCACCACAGAGAACCCAGATTCTAAGGCCTTTGTGGTAGGGCTGGTGGAGTTGACTGAAGTGGTAGAGTGCCTGCCTAGCAATTATGAGGCTCTGAGTTCAAACCTTCAGTGCTACCAAAAAAAAACCCCTCTCTACCAAGGCCCTTATGGTGAAGCAGCTGCAGCTGCTTGTCTTGGGTGCATGGGCTCCAGGTGGGTGCCCTGACCGGCACAGGAGTCTGCATGGTAACTAATGGGCTTCTTCCAGAGAGTGATCCTATCCTTACTTTGTTGTCACTTCACCTGGGGTTGAGAATCTGACAGTGACTGGGCTGGACCCAGCGGTTGCATTTGTAAAGTGTCCTGAGCGACCCTCAAGCTGGTGTCCTGTTGAGATGGGGTGGTGGAGAACTGGTGGGTGGGTGGTCATCGGCAGCCTGGGGGCTTCCTCTACTGGTACGCGTGTCCCTGCCCCCTCCAAGAAACTGCCCTGTAGGTTCACATGCCCTCATTCCCTGGTCCTGTTGACCTGCCCTTGGCACTGTCTGGGGACTGGGCCCAGTTCCTTGGGATTCCAGCCTGTGCTGGTATTGGCTATTGTAGCTTTGATGTGGCCACAAAGGCCACATGTGGCCTGCACCCGATGTAGGTGTGGCTGCTGGATGCACCCTGCATGGGGAGGCGGCACCCTGCACTTCCGATGTGTAGGCTGCTTGTTCGCATTGGTCCCCAGGTTGAGGTGCAGCTGAGGTGGCGCTTTGAAGGACAGCCCAACCACGTGGGTGGCAGGGGCTTGTCTGTCACATTGTGGGTGATAGAGTGACTCCCTTACATTTAAGATAGCTTTGTTCAGACCAAGTGTGTGCGCGCCATGGCCTGTATCTGCATGGCACCTTGTGTGACATCTGAGCCAGGTGTGGGGGACCCGCCCCTCACTGGTACTTGGAGCCTCAGGGCATGACTGTGTTGCCGACTGTTCCATTAGGTGGCAGTTGTCTGCTGTGATGAGCTCGGGAGTAATGTGCTGATATACCATCTCAAAGGTGCTTGGAGAGTGTCCTCACGTTGAGTAGATGATACTTGGCTTTCTGACACCTCATCCTGGCCAAAGTTGCATAGATAAGTGTTGGGTTCTGGCCTGGAAGACTTGGGAGAGTGGTGGGAGCTGATCTTTTGGTGGGATGTTTGTAGGAGTCACTGCCTCCATGATCCCTGCAGGCACTACAGGCTGAGTGGGACCAGCAGAGCCCCTTATACCTTTGTGAGCCCTGGGCACAAGGTTGACCAGCATCCCTTTGAGCTTAGACCCTGCAAGCCCTGGGCACAATACCAATGGCCTCCCAGTGAGCTCGGAACCTGTAAGCACTGGGCACAATGCTGATGGCCTCCCTGTGAGCACTGGGCACAATGCTGATGGCCTCCCTGTGAGCTCAGACCCTGTGATCCCTGGGCACAATGCTGATGGCCTCCCTGTGTGGAAGCAGCTCTTACATCTGTCAGGGCAGCAGCTGTGGAAAAAGCTGAGGAGATGATATGTGATCTTGGGCCGAGGTTGCTGGCCTTGTTTTCTAAGTCTGTGCAGGTAGGCATGGAGACTTTGAGGTGGGCTGTTGTGTGATAGTTTATCAGGTATGGAGCAGGCCACAGCCATGCTTTTGGCACCCCAGACTTTGCCCTGTGGGCCTGATCTGTGGCATCTCCTCTTTCCCAGCTATCCTGCTGCTTTGACTACTACCCTGCCCTGTCTTAGACACCTGAGGATGCCTGGTGCTGCCCGCTCACTCCATCTCTGGGGGCCCCCATCAGTGAGATCTTGATGTTTCTGCTTTGTTCTTCCCTGTCTCCCTTCTACAAAGGTGTTCTGGCTTTGTCTCTCTTTTTTTTATTTTTTGGTGGTAATGGGGTGAACTCCGAGCCTCATGCAAGTGCTCTACCTCTAGTGCCATACCTCTAGCTAAGGCCTTGTGTACTTTAAATCCTTTTCCAAACAAATCCTTTTACTTCCAATGGGTAACTTTGAGTGTTAGACATACCATCCTTTTCCCCCTAGGTTTGTTTGTAAAAATAATGGCGTGCTGTTTGAAAACCAGTTGCTTCAAATTGGACTTAAGTCTGAATTTCGGCAGAATTTAGGTATGCGTTTTAATTACTTAATGAAAACTTGTCTTAGAAATTATGGGAAATTTGCTGGGTGTGCTATAGTGGCTTACGCTTGCAGTCCTCACATATGGGAGGCTGAAGCAGGTGGATCATGGATTCCAGGCCAGCTTGGGCTACATAGGGCAGGCTGGGTGACTATAGTCCTGAGAAGGTCCCTGGCACCCCTGCCAGTGCTGGCTGGACCTCTCAACTTGGCATCCAAGGTTCTCCCTGCTCAAGGTGTGTGGGCCTTTACCTGTGTGTAAGAGCATGGAAGGAGGCCTTGGGATAGGTGCTGAGAGGCAGGAAAGATGACCCCATTTCCAACTTTGGCATGCTATTTTAAAATTAGGAAGAATTTATTCTTAATTTAACAACAGTCATAGGTCACAAGAATTCAACTTCAGGGAACACCCTTGTCTCTCACTGTGAATATTCAAGACAAGTGTGAAGTGATGTGTGTGAAATGAATTGTTTCTGTTTCCTTCCAGGTCGGATGTTCATATTTTATGGTAACAAGACCTCCACACAGTTCTTAAACTTTACTCCAACACTAATTTGTGCAGATGACCTTCAGACTAATATCCTTGGCTCCTTCCCCAGGTCCTCAGACACAGACAGACAGACAGACAGACAGCAATTTGGGATTAGAGACTTTGAGGAAGGTTGTTTTTGGTCAACATAGCAAGGTGTTTCCAAGTGCTCAATAAAACCACATGCTCTTCCTGATTTGAGAGCTGACCTTGAAGGCACATCAAGCATGATGGGTCTGTCCCATTTATCTGGCTGTGTTAGTTCATTTTGCTCTTTTGTTATATTGTTGTCAAGTTCCCTCTGAGCTCTGTCCCCTGCCCTGTGAAGTCTCCCAGATGAGCAGAGTAGGGATCTGAGCATATCTTACCCCACCAGGCTTGTGTTTGCTTCTGGTAGCCATTTGTTCAGGCAGAAGACTGGTCTGTTAGTAGCTATCAGGAATGCCAATAGAATGTTCCAGCTGAGGGGAATAGCTCCTGGAGTTCACTGGGCTGGCCTGGTACTGCTTCCTCCAACGATGGTCCCACCCAGTGCAGTTGTGTAAGGACCCAGCTTAGCCAGAGAAGGACACCTTTCCTTAAGCTCATAGATGTGTTTGAAGCAGTGAGTTCTCATTCACTGGCAGATCCATGTTCATTGAAACACAGATTACTGACACTGTTTCAGACAGTCATTAACAGCACACATCATGGAGGCTAGGGCTGTAGCTGTGGTAGAGCACTTGTCCTAGCACAAGGTGGAGTTCCATCCCTAGCACCGCAAAGACAAGCAAAAACGCACACTCAGGGCAAGCTGTGTTAAAGGCTATTTGATCAGGAGTCTTAAGTTCTATGAACATAGAGCCACCTCTGCTGGCTGGGCTCTGTGGGACTGAGCATGTCCAGAGCAGCCTGGCAGCTGCATGGCTGGTGAGCACAGGGTGCAGAGTGAAGGAGTCCATCCAGCCATGGTCGTGTGGGTCCTGTCTGCAGGGGCATCATGGAGAACCTTTTGATGGGATTTTTTTTTTCTTTTTTTTGTGACACTGGGGTTTGAACTTAGGAACTCACACTTGCTAGGCAGGCAATCTTACCTCTTGAGCCACTCTGTCAGCATCAAGAGTCTTTTGTTTGCAACCTAAAAGTACCCACTCAAGCAAGGCAGCTGAGAAAATGAGCCCTGGTTCTGCCAATTGCAACAGAAACCTGCATGTAAGTGCAAGAGCTGAGGTTTATGAAGCCAAGACAAGTAGAGTACACACAAGCCAGTGTGTACCTCAGTTACCTTTTATAAGAAGGGAGTAGTGATACACAAATGGTTGTAGGTGTCTGAGCCGGTCCTGTCTCCAGTGGGGAGGATGCATGTGTTCAAAAGACAGGCTGGCAGCAGTCCTGGGCCTTGCTTTACAGTGTTGGCAAGGCGCAGGGGGTGCCTTGCTGCTTCCTGAGGCAGGGCTGGTTGGATGGGGCCCACTCTCCCAGCTTGATCTGAATTCCTTAATGCACTCACATCTGAACCTGCAGACCAAGCCCGTGGACCCAACTGTGGATGGGGGTGCTCAGGTGCAGCAGGTGGTCAACATAGAGTGTGTGTCTGACTTTACAGAGGCACCTGTCCTCAACATTCAGTTCAGGTGAGAGTTGTCCACATGTCTTAGGTCAAAAGCCTTTGTCCTTCCCAAGGGGATAACTGGGCACTGCTGCACCTCCATGGACATGTGCCGCAAGCTGCTGTTGCTTGCACCTTTCCAGAATGTAGGGACAAAAGGAGAGGAAGCCGGCCTGTGACCCTGATGCAGCACCACAGTGGCCCCCATGGCTCCTGAAGGCTGGGGTATTTCTGACCCAAATGCTTTCATGTTGAGAAATAGAGCTGCCAGCCCCTTGGGCGGTAGACAGTTAGGCCAAGGTACTACCTGCTAGGGTTGACTCCAAAGCTGCAGGAATGGTGGTGACTGGCTCTTTTCAGATCCTGGCCTGGTGCTGGTGTGTGCCTTTGTACAGTGCAGGTAGCTGCTCTTCATTTTCAGTGACCACAGTAGAATGGATATGATCAACAGTGCCCTGTTGGGTGCCTGCAAGGCTAAAGTGGCTGGAAAAGCATGTTTTCAAGCATTAAAAACACAGAGAGCTTAAATGGTTTTTTCATTCTTTTTGTGGGGGTCCCCCACCCCACAGTTTACAGACAGCATTCTGGGAACAGATTAGTGGGGAAGGGCAGAGCAGGCAGGAGTTCTGTTGAGCTGTCTATGTCTTCTTTTGCCACGAGAGCCAGGCTGACTTCCTGACACTTGTCACAAAGTAGTGGCTTGGCCCCAGCTGTGTAAATGACATCTGCCTTGGAATGTAACTGGTGCAGTAGCATCCTGTGTGGTGTGCAGTAGGGTGGAGCAATTAGGCTGCAGGAGCCCTACACTTATTTGGCCCTTTCCTGTGCTCTGACGATTTGCCAACTAGGAGTTTCTGGCTGTCCATTTATTCTCAACATGCCTCTGTGCTTGTAGGTATGGTGGCACCTTCCAGAACGTGTCCGTGAAGCTGCCCATCACGCTCAACAAATTTTTTCAGCCCACAGAAATGGCTTCTCAGGATTTCTTTCAGCGTTGGAAGCAGTTGAGCAAGTGAGAGGGCCCTGTTGTGGTGTGGAGAGGGGCAGCAGGGGTTGCTGGACAGGACAGCCTGTAAGTCTCTGGTGTGGCTTTCAACACTGACCCTTGTGCTGTTTCTCACAGTCCACAGCAAGAAGTGCAGAACATTTTCAAAGCAAAGCATCCAATGGACACAGAGATCACTAAAGCGAAGGTAAAGGACGCTGTGGGGACATCCCTGTGGCAGGTGCACTGTGACGAGTGCCAGTGCTTTGACCCTCCTTTTCCTCCTGAGCAGATTATTGGATTTGGTTCTGCACTCCTTGAGGAAGTCGATCCTAATCCTGCAAATTTTGTGGGCGCTGGCATCATACACACCAAAACCACTCAGATTGGGTGCTTGCTGCGTCTGGAGCCGAATCTGCAAGCCCAGGTTAGGCCTCCAAGAAAGCTGACAAGACTGCTAGTGCGGAGGTTGTTAGCATAGCATAATCAGCAGGATTCACAGATCCCAGTGAAGGTAGTCAGTGCTGATGGATGCGTGCATTTTGCACAGCCACGTCCCATCAGTACACATAGCACTTCCTTTTCCCTACAAAGTGCCACTCCGCAGTGTTCTGCCCTGAGCTGCATTGCTCCCAGCCCTCAAGGTGCTGCCCCACTCAGCCCTGTGCTCTTGTCTACTCTACATTGCTGCTTGCATGGCAGGCATTCTTTGTGCCTTTTAGCAGTATTCCTCTGGGGAGGCCCCAGGCTGTGCATACTGGTTCCTGGTCTGTGTTTGGTTCTCCTGTGGGTGGACACCTGTTTTTACTTCACTTGGGTGATCTGGGAGTGTGTGGCCGGCTCACAAGGTGGGTGCATACTTAACTGTGAGAAGCTGCAAACTGCTTCCCACAGTGGCTAGCAGGCACCCACCCCCACCAGCAGCCACTCCGTGTGCTTAGTATTGTCAGACTTTGTATTTTCACTGCTGAAAGTGTCTTAGGCTCAGGCCCTCAAAGTGGGCAGAGCAGGGAAAAGCTGGAGCAGCCACTGGGTGTGGTGGGGCCTGAACCGAAAGACCATATGTTGATGCTACAGGAACCCAGTGTGCCCACTGACCCACTGCTCTCTGTTTCAGATGTACAGACTTACGTTGCGCACAAGCAAAGACACCGTCTCTCAGAGATTATGTGAATTGCTGTCAGAACAGTTCTGACCCACCAGGGTGAAGATTGGGCTCATCTTTGTGCATTTCTCTTCATCTCTACCGTTTGTCTTCGTTATCACACTGCAAATAAACACCCCTTGTCTGAGTCCCACAGCACAAGGCGTCTCCAGCCCTGTACCTCCAGCCAGCCCCTGTGGGTGTGGATGGGACGCAGCGCAAGGTTCCAGAAGGGCTGCAGCAGGCCTGCCCCATTGGAGGAGGGAGCCTGGACCTGGGAAATCAAGACAGCCCTGGGGTTCAACTTGCAAATTAAAGGGAAATTACAAGTTTGAATGAAAGTGGAAATTTGGTTGAAATTTTATTGAAATGCTGCTGTTCTGCTGCTGACTCGATCCCAGAGCCCAGGAGCAGCACCTTGGGCTTATAGGGCTGACCCGGGGCTACGTGGCCGTGCTGGTGGGTGACACCATGGCTAGAGATGTGTGACTGTCTGACCCGACAGGCTGGGTACTGTCTCCATGTGGCTGGTTGTATTGCCATCTGATGGTTTCTGGGGAGGAACTTTAGGAGCTAGAAGCATTTGTTTCAGTGACTTGGCAAAACCACAAGCATTGCTCACCTCAATGGCAGTCTTCTTCCCAGCACCTGTGTTCTTGAAGGGACATTTGTGACATCCTTACTGCTTGTTTCAGACCTTGCATTTGCAGCTTCGTGGGCAGAGGGCTCCTGGTGACTCTGGAGGACATGGACACAGCATTTGTTTAAATGAGTGCACTGTCCTGGGCCCTGTGCTTGGGAACGTGGGGGTTAAGAATGGATGGTGGAGCAAGACTGTGCAAGGTGTGCTTGTCTCTCCTTGCATGTGTTTTTTCCCGGGATCTGTTGAGGTCCTTGTGCTGCTGACCTGTATCTGGTCCATGCTTGATGTGGAGTGGAGCAATGAGGCCTGAGTTTGGTTGGTAAGGAAGGATGGCAGCTGAATGAGTACTGTGCTGAGAATGCCCTGGGCCTGCAGGTCCATGGGCTGTCATGGGTCGTCCCTGCCCCAGCACTGGACTGCACGTGTGACCCCTCGAGGCAGGAACACAGACCAGGGCAGCGACTTCAGGAATCCAGCTGAGTCCCTGCACTCTACCCTGAGACACCAGTGCAGACAGGGTTGAACAGGTTTGAACACGCACAGCAACTTTCGGCACCTTATTATACACACTGGAACTCCAAGCTCAGCCGCTCAAAGTCCTTCACCTCAGCCTTTGCCACCAGCTAGGTGGAACTCCTGCAGGGTTTGGGACCTTCAGCCCCACAGAGCCCATGTGTTGGTTTCAGAACAAACATTACCTCCTGTTCTGGCCCTCAGGTCTGACAGAGCCGGTGGTCTGGCTGTGGTTTTTTGTGATACACACCTGCTGCAGGGCAGGCTTGTGCCTCAGATGGACGACCTGGCTGTACAGCCAGAGTGAACCTCCACATTCTTTTGATCCAGCTGCTGGACAGAGTGACTGTCCCCAGTGTGCAGTCCACACACATTGGACTGTATGGAAGACTCAGCCTGTGTGGCCATGGCTCATGTGACACATGTTCAACCCTGTCTGCACTGGTGATGGTGTCTGAGATAGTAATGGCCCCAGCCTGGGAAGGGTGACTGCCATGACACAGGCCTGCCCTCTGCACCATCTGGGCCCTCCATCAGTTCAGTGTGCCCCTTCTCAGAAAAAAATAAATGGTAGAGCAGTGACCCAGAGCCCATGTGTGGTCTTTGTGTAGTTCTTTGACATCCCCTGTATGTATTGTGGGGAATTATGTGCTAGGGACCCCGGAGCTCCCATCACTTGTTCCTCAGCATGCAGTGGTGTAGGAGCACGGCTGCTTAGGGTGTGGTGTGCCTTTGCTCTGCCATGCAATTCTGGGTGTAACTGAGCCTGATCTATCCACTTGTGCTGGTATTGGGTTAAGGTTCCCTGGGGGTCCCGTCATCTGAAGGCTTCTTGTCAAAGTGCACAGGACTGTTGCCTTCCCTGGGGTGAGCCCAAAGTGGGGACTGTACACAGGTGACTTGGGGAATCTCCAGCAGCGATCACAGATGGGGCTGGGGGCCCAGAGGATGGTGACCTCCACCATAGACTTGGCAGAGTTGTGTGTGGGAGGATACCAAGATCAGGGGTATCATCCCCTCTGTCCCAGTCCCACGAGGTGGCCCAAACTCTGCAGGTGTGATGGTGGGAGAGTCCTGGTGGCCCCAGCTGTGCAGGTGTTAAGGGGGTTCCTGGTGGTCCAACCTGTGCAGGTGTGGCTTGACTTATCCTGTGCAGGTATGTGTCAGGGGAGCTTAATGCTTGGGGTCTTGGAAGGTGATAGTTGTGTCTACAGAGCAGCTTCTACCTCAACAAGAACCAGTTTATTTGAAATCTACTTGTGACAGCCTCCTGAGGACATGGGTTCTGACAATGGCCTCCTGCCTGGCTGGATGCCAGTATTTGCCTGCGCCTGTCACCCTCCAGTCCCTCCCTGATTCTAGAGAGACCTGTCCCCCTTCTCTGCCATCTTTGGTGTTTACCTTACCTTTTACCCCATTTGCCCCTGTCTAGTGCCCACACCCAGGGTCTTCATCTGATCATTCTCTGTGATTCTCCAGGCACCTCACTGGAGCCACCCCCTTCCCTGGCATCTGCTTCTGGAGGTCTCTTATCTCCAAGGTACTGCAACTAGATCCTGGGAAGTGGTGTGCAGATGGATGATGTGGACAGGAAGTGCCCTGCATGTTTGTCAGGGTGAGCACTTCAGTGCTTCCCTAGTCCCACGTGGCCTCTTCAGGGTCTGTGGGAGATGGGTTGGGGGAGCCCCTGCCTGGCCATCTGTTTCCAACAAGTGCCTTAGGCAAGCCACATCAGGGTACTTTGAGGTGCTGCTGTGACCAGGAAAGGGATTGCTGCACAAGCCCAGAGAAGGTATCAATAGTGGCATTTATTTATTTGTTTTTTTTTTTTAACCTGTAATCCCTTACACCCAGAAGACCAGGCAACCCCCCTCTAGTCTGCACAGTGCCGGGAGTCACATGCACAGCCACTGAACACCTGCAAAGTGAGTGTGAGTTGCTGGCTTGGCACACTGGGGTCTGTGCAGGGCAGGAGGAACTGCTTCTCATGAGCACCAAGTGGGTAGCAGCAGCTGCAGTGGGTTTCCACCTGCTGGGTGTTGACGTTGAAGCTGCCAAGAAGCAGAGACCAGCAGAGTCAGGGCAGCCATGCCCTCCCCAGGCCAGCCCCAAAGCAGGTGGACCCTGCTCCCTGCTGACTGCCTGCTTAACAAGGGCATGCCCACTTAACAGGGTATGGCCATGGGTGTGGAGTGGGCTGCCCAGACCTCTGTTGGGCAGGGACCACTGGAACCACTTTGAGACCTTCGCTCCTGTGGTGGTTCTGGGCCTAACAGGAAGGAGGGCACCTGTTAGTGGCTTACCTGACCAAAGAGGGGCAGAAGCCCTTGCAGTAGGTCAGGGTCACATTCGCTGTGCAGCCCTGGTAGGTGATCTGGTGCTCTTGCTCCTGTAAGCTGCAGGCCCCTGAGGTCAGAAATGAGAGTGAGACAAAAGTCAGACCACCCATATTGAGCCAAGTGGAGGGACACCCTACCTGCATCAGGTTTTCTTTTCTCCTGTAGGAGGTTGTACTACTGGAGCCCTCAAACCCTCTGAGCTCCCCAGGGACAGCTGTGGAAGACTGTTTGCAGATACCAGCCCAAAGAAAGTTTAAGACTACAGGAGATGGGTTGCAGGTGAGCCACTACACAAAATGCAGCAGAGACCAGGGATGTGAAAGAGCCTTCTGCAGTAGAGGGCAGAGGTATGCTGGGGAGAGGAGAGGAGAAAGGGGCAGCAGTCAGGTCCAAAAAGACCCAGGACGGGCCCAAGCACTGGGTCAGTATGGAGGCATTCAGGAAGAAGATAAGGCAGGGATAGTATAGGAGACAATGAAGAGCAGATTATTGTCCAGAGTGCTGTCGAGTTCAGACAGGGAGTAGAGGTGTGGCTTAGGCAGTAGAGTGCCTATTTTGCAAGTGTGAACCCCTGAGTTCAAATCCAGCCCCACCTTCCCCCCCCAAAAAAAAAACAGTTCAGTCAGGACCTGGGCCAAAGGCTCAGAGGAGTCAAGGACACTACTTACCAGGAGGACTGGATGTAGACATGATGGGAGAGGGGCTCTCAGTGGAGGGGGACTCCAGGGTAGAAGCAGAGGGGCTTTCAGGGAAAGTGCTAGGACTGGTCAGGAACACAGACGTAGGAAGCAAGGTGGAATGAGGAGGCCTGGTGGTGAGGATGGTGACTGGAGAACTTGGAGAGGCTGTCATGGCCAAGGTAGATGACATGAGCCCTGATGTGGGGGCTCCCGTGGTAAGAGAGGTAAACTCAGAAGTGGTGGATTGTGAGGAGGATGTGGAGGAGGTGGGAACATGGGATGTGGTCCTGGATGTGGAGAGAAGGCTAGTACTGGATGCTGGGAAATGAGATAGTGTGGGAGAAGATTGTGGCAAATTTGTAGAAGAAACAGAAGCAGTAGAGAGGCTTAGATGTGGAGATAATGAAGTTGTCAGAGATGATGAAGAAGGGCTGACACTGGAGATGACAGGTGAGGACGACTGCATACTAATAACAGACGAGGTCCTCTCTGTGCTGAAAGAACTGTGGGCTATGGTGGTGGCTGTGGTGCTGGAAGTCATTAGTGGGGCTGTGTGTGTGGGCCCTGTACCTTTAGTTGAGGAAGTTGGGAGCATGGTGCCTGTAGGCATTGGGGAAGAGCTGGAAGAGACCATGTGTGCACTTGAGGTGATGGTGGTGTGAGAAGTTGGTGTCACGGAGGAGGTGGAGAATGTTGGAAACACAGAGGACAATGATATCTGAGTGACAGATGGAGTAGGAGAGGTGCTGGAGCTCTGGAGGGAAGTTTCCGTAGGGGGACCTGTGGTGTGTGAAGTGGTGGAGACAGAAACTGTAGGTGATGAGTGTGTGGTGAATGGGGTGTGGGAGCTACTAGGTGTGGCAGAGTTGGTGTGGGCCAGTGAGGTCACAGTTCCACTACTGGTGGACTGGTGTGTGGTGGTGGTGCTCAGAGCTGACGTGAATTGATGGTGTGGCGTTGAGGCTGGATATGACACAAGGGAGGTAGAGGTTTTTTCTGTGGTGGATGAAGCGTGAGTTTGGGTGGTGGCCAAGGTGGTGGAGGTTGGTAGTGGTGTGTGTGTGGTGACTGTGTGTGTGGTTTTTGAGTGTGTGGTCTCTGTTGTTTGTGTGGTTGGCGGAATGGTAGCAGTGGATCTTGTGACAGAGGCTGAAGGGACCATGTGTGAACTGCTGGGCATGATGGTGTGAGAACTTGGTGTCACAGAGGAGGTGGAGAATGTTGGAAACACAGAGGACAATAAAGTCTGGGGGACAGTTGGAGTATGATAGGAGCTGGAGGTCTGGCGTGAAGTTTCCGTGGGTGGTCCTGTGGTGTGTGTAGTGGTGGACACAGAAACTGTGGGTGATGAGTGTGTGGTGAATGGGGTGTTGGAGCTGCTAGGTGTTTCAGAGTTGGTGTGGGCCACTGAGGTCACAGTTCCACTACTGGTGGACTCGTGCGTGGTGGTGGTGCTGACAGCTGACGTGTATTGATGGTGTGTTGTTGAGGAAGGATGTGACAAGAAAGAGGTAGATGTTTTCTCAGTGGTGGATGAACCATGAGTTTGGGTTGTAGGAAAGGTGGTGGAAGTTAGTGGTAGTGCTGTTTGTGTGATGGCTGTGTGTGTGGTGGCTGAGTGTGTGGTCTCTGTTCCTTGTGTGGTTGGCAGAATGGTACCAGTGGTTCTTCTGGTGGAGGAAGAAGAAACCATGTGTGAACTGCTCGGCGTGATGGTGTGAGAAGATGGTGTCACAGAGGAGGTGGAGAATGTTGGAAACACAGAGGACAATGAAGTCTGGAAGACAGTTGGAGTATGATAGGAGCTGGAGGTCTGGCGTGAAGTTTCCGTGGGTGGTCCTGTGGTGTGTGTAGTGGTGGAGACAGGAACTGTGGTGATGAGTGTGTGGTGAATGGGGTGTGGGAGCTGCTAGGTGTGGCAGAGTTGGTGTGGGCCAGTGAGGTCACAGTTCCACTACTGGTAGACTGGTGTGTGGTGGTGGTGCTGACAGCTGACGTGGATTGATGGTGTGTTGTTGAGGAAGGATGTGACACGAGGGAGGTAGATGTTTTTTCTGTGGTGGATGATTCGTGAGTTTGGGTGGTGGCCAAGGTGGTGGAGGTTGGTAGTGGTGTGTGTGTGGTGACTGTGTGTGTGGTTGCTGAGTGTGTGGTCTCTGTTCTTTGTGTGGTTGGTGGAATGGTACCAGTGGACCTTGTGACAGAGGCTGAAGGGACCATGTGTGAACTGCTGGGAGTGATGGTGTGAGAACTTGGTGTCACAGAGGAGGTGGAGAATGTTGGAAACACAGAGGACAATGAGGTCTGGGAGACAGTTGGAGTATGATAGGAGCTGGAGGTCTGGCGTGAAGTTTCCGTGGGTGGTCCTGTGGTGTGTGTAGTGGTGGAGACAGGAACTGTGGGTGATGAGTGTGTGGTGAATGGGGTGTGGGAGCTGCTAGGTGTTTCAGAGTTGGTGTGGGCCACTGAGGTCACAGTTCCACTACTGGTGGACTCGTGCGTGGTGGTGGTGCTGACAGCTGATGTGGATTGATGGTGTGTTGTTGAGGAAGGATGTGACACGAGGGAGGTAGATGTTTTTTCTGTGGTGGATGATTCGTGAGTTTGGGTGGTGGCCAAGGTTGTGGAAGTCGGTAGTGCTGTTTGTGTGGTTGCTGAGTGTGTGGTCTCTGTTCTTTGTGTGGTTGGCGGAATGGTAGCAGTGGATCTTGTGACAGAGGCTGAAGGGACCATGTGTGAACTGCTGGGAGTGATGGTGTGAGATGTTGATGTTACAAAGGAGGTGGAGAACGTTGGAAATACAGAGGACAGTGATGTCTGTGGGACAGATGGAGTAGGAAAGGTGCTGGTGGTCTGGAAGGAAGATTCCGTAGGGAGTCCTGTGGTGTGTGGAGTGGTGGAGACAGAAATTGTGGGTGATGAGTGTGTTGTGAATGGGGTGTGGGAGCTGCTAGGTGTGGCAGAGTTGGTGTGGGCCAGTGAGGTCACAGTTCCACTACTGGTGGACTGGTGTGTGGTGGTGGTGCTCAGAGCTGACGAGGATTGATGGTGTGGCATTGAGGATGAAAGTGACACAAGGGAGGTAGAGGTTTTTTCTGTGGTGAATGAACTGTGAGTTTGGGAGGAGGCCATGGTGGTGGAAGTCTGTGGTAGTGCTGTTTGTGTGGTCGCTGAGTGTGTGGTCTCTGTTCCTTGTGTTGTTGGTGTAATGGTACCAGTGGATCTTGTGGTAGAGGCAGAAGTGACCAAATGTGAACTGCTGGGCGTGATGGTGTGAGATGTTTTTGTCACAGAGGAGGTGGAGAACGTTGGAAACACAGAGGACAGTGATGTCTGTCGGACTGATGATGTAGGAAAAGTGCTGGAGGTCTGCAGAGAAGTTTCCTTGGGGGGTCCTGTGGTTTGTGTAGTGGTGGAGACAGGAATTGTTGGTGAAGAGTGTGTGGTGAATGGGGTGTTGGAGCTGCTAGGTGTTTCAGAGTTGGTGTGGGCCACTGAGGTCACAGTTCCACTACTGGTGGACTCGTGCGTGGTGGTGGTGCTGACAGCTGACGTGGATTGATGGTGTGTTGTTGATGAAGGATGTGACACGACAGAGGTAGATGTTTTTTCTGTGGTGGATGATTCGTGAGTTTGGGTGGTGGCCAAGGTGGTGGAAATTGGTGGAGATGTGGGTGTGGTTGCTGAGTGTGTAGTGTCTGTTCTTTGTGTGGTTGGCGGAATGGTAGCAGTGGATCTTGTGACAGAGGCTGAAGGGACCATGTGGGAACTGCTGGGAGTGACGGTGTGAGAACTTGGTGTCACAGAGGAGGTGGAGAATGTTGGAAACACAGAGGACAATGAAGTCTGGGAGACAGTTGGAGTATGATAGGAGCTGGAGGTCTGGCGTGAAGTTTCCGTGGGTGATCCTGTGGTGTGTGTAGTGGTGGAGACAGGAACTGTGGGTGATGAGTGTGTGGTGAATGGGGTGTGGGAGCTGCTAGGTGTTTCAGAGTTGGTGTGGGCCACTGAGGTCACAGTTCCACTATTGGTGGACTCGTGCGTGGTGGTGGTGCTGACAGCTGATGTGGATTGATGGTGTGTTGTTGAGGAAGGATGTGACACGACGGAAGTAGTTGTTTTTTCTGTGGTGGATGATTCGTGAGTTTGGGTGGTGGCCAAGGTGGTGGAAGTCGGTAGTGCTGTGTGTGTGGTTGCTGAGTGTGTGGTCTGTGTTCTTTGTGTGGTTGGCGGAATGGTAGCAGTGGATCTTGTGACAGAGGCAGAAGGGACTGTGTGTGAACTGCTGGGAGTGACGGTGTGAGAAGTCGATGTCACAGAGGAGGTGGAGAATGTTGGAAACACAGAAGACAATGATGTCTGTGGGACAGATGGAGTATGAAAGGTGCTGGAGGTCTGGAAGGAAGATTCCGTAGGGAGTCCTGTGGTGTGTGGAGTGGTGGAGACAGAAATTGTGGGTGATGAGTGTGTTGTGAATGGGGTGTGGGAGCTGCTAGGTGTGGCAGAGTTGGTGTGGGCCAGTGAGGTCACAGTTCCACTACTGGTGGACTGGTGTGTGGTGGTGGTGCTCAAAGCTGATGAGGATTGATGGTGTGGCGTTGAGGATG